GAGAGCCAAGTCAACTCATGCCAATGCTGGTGGTGCTTGTGACCCGGAGGACTAGCTCATAGATTTGATTTATGTGTCAGATCCTTTACAATTGGATCGTGATCAGCGTTCCTAGTTCTGCAGGATTTGGTGGCCCTTCAGGGCATTCAAGATGACATTTTCCAATTTGAAGCGGAAAAAACGTACCACTCTCAATTTGTTCGATGTACATGTTGTAAAGCCACCCTTTCCCTGCGCCTGTACCCTGAGGAACTGGACCATTGCTTCGCCTGAGGACGGACTTCAGTCGATTGGTTGTGTGTCAGTGGCTCAGTATGGCCCTGACTCTTCCTTTATATATATCTAGATCTCAAATTACATATTGCTCGGCTCAGGGCCTATGCCCGAAGCTTCTATATCAAGACGGTGGACTCGCAAAAGGTGGAGGAGTTCAATGATCGAAATGGCACTTCTTTTAAGGCTGGTTATTATAATATATATATATATATACATTGTGTGTGTGCTTGACAGCCCTGATGATGATACTTGTAAACTACTTGAAGCTAACACTTTCTCCCCGGTAGGTGAACAAGAAAGGTGGTCTGACTTTGGGCTTTTGCCGTTTCCCAGATGTGACCACAGCGTTTGGTTCTCAGCCACATCCATGATGCCAATCTATCAAGCCCGACATTGCCCGGCCCAGGTGGGAAGCTGCCAAAGAGTTGGCAGGGTGGCCTGTGGATGTCGATTGAGCATCCAAACCTGGCCGACTGGGGTTGTGATCTGGAGTTCCCCATAGGTTGGAGGATTGGTAAGATTAAACATTTTCAACATTGATTTTCAATTTCCAAGTGATCTCCAAGGGGGCAGCTCCATGATCTCTATTTTCACGTCAGTGTTGAGGGATTCAGAGTCGCAAGAAAAACGACAAAAAACACGACACTTTCGATTCAATGTTTAGCTGCATGATCAGCCGAAGAGATGTTCCAATGTATGTGTGTGTGTGTGTGCCAAATTTTATCAAATGCAGTATTTCCCAGGCTTGAAGCTGCAACCAAAGGTCGAGGAATAGGATAGGGTTTCAAGATGGCCCGGCGTTCTCCATGGATGTTATCGGGGCTTGCGCTGACCAAAAGCATGGTGCGAGCCTTGATGGTCATTGGCTACCCATTGGTAATGTCGGGACCTCAGAAAATTGTAAAATGGCAGGTGCATGTTGTAGGTGGGAAAATGTTGGAAGAAGGAATCCCCCCCCCGTTCCTTTTTGTGGCTTTCTGGTGAACCCTAGGATTCACTTTTGTGACTACCTGTGTCAGCAACATCATCAAGTGTATCAAAGAGTGTGGAACTCAACCTTCGTCTTCCTTGTGAACATGTACATGTCTTACTAGTGCCTTCCAGTTTTGAAACTCGTCCTGCTCAGGATGTGTCCAATGTGGACCTCTTTTCAGGTCAAGGAGCTATCTGGAAAAGTTTTGGCCTTGACCTCAACTAATCATATATGTGGATTAAGATACTGATTCGGTACCCATACATCTATCTATCTATCTATATATATATATATATGCATATGGCATGGTAACTTTTATTGGCACTAAGATGACCTTGGAGAGAAGACGCTCGTATCCCAGGAAAATGTGTTTTTGCTGCAATCTTGGAATTAGATTTTACTGAGGGCCCACCTGGAGATAGCCGAAACACCAGATGATGATTTGGCAACAATGCTGCATACTCAGAAAAGGGTCTTCTTTTCCAACTAATTATATAGTAATTCATCTCCCATGATTGTCAAGGTCTGGCTTCGCCAGGGCCACCGTTCACGTGCTGAGACTCAAGCCATCAGGTCTTTTAACTGCAGGACTTCCCTGCAGCAGCTACATTTACTTGAACAGAGCCACCAGTGGCAGATCAGAGGAAACACCGTTTGGAGATGAAAGCAAACCTTACGTAAGGTTGTCCAATTTGTTTCTCAGCTGAATGGTGGTTCCAATGAATTTGAACAATATTTTGAAATCGTTTCAGCATTAAATTGGATATAAATATATATATGAATCCAGTGCTGATTGTGGAATCTGAGGCTGACATGTCGCCTGCTGCTACTATGCATTCTTGCATCGATCAGATCTTGCGAGTGGCTGATTGAACAGCCGTCTTCATCTACGTTCGTCCATTGCCCCTACCTGAAATTTGCCCAGCGGGCCTTCAGGCGACACATCAAAATTGGACTGCAGAGGTTGTCAGATCCTCAGTCTGGCACTGCCAGTGGAAGACTTTCCAACATTTTCCAGAATTATTATCTGGCCACTAAGTTGGATGGGATTATTTGGAGCAAAGAGCCCCAAGTTGACTCTGGTCATAGGAACGCCGCTGGGGACTCAGGGAATCAGCTATCACTTTATTCCATTTGAAGTCTGTTGCACATCCTGAGGAGTTGGAAAGCCAAGCTGTTTCGACCTCTTACGAAGAAGTTGAAAGCCAAACTGAAGTTGTCTTCAAAAGGCGTTGTGATCAAAAAACACTTGAAGTGCGGCAAACTTTCAGTGCAGGGTCCTCAAGATATAGATCTATAGGATTTAATATAGCATATAGTGCAGTACAAGATGTATATATAAATATATTATCTGTCTGTGTGGTTGCGATCCAACAGGTATACAAACTTATTGATCAATTTGTCGCTGAGGCAAGGAGGGCCACTTTTGAAGCAAACGCAGGTCTACCCCAAACGGTTTGGGCAGAAAGTGGCATCCCTTCATCTCGACTATATGGCAGGCCTCTCAAACAGAACCATCCAGCAGTCTTAAGTTGATTTTGAACTATTTCGACACAATTAATTTCAAAGATCCTGCTCCTAGGCCAAGTACTCGTTTCAAAATGAAGTGGCTGTGAAAGCCATTGAAGCCAGCAAAGTCGGAACCTCATCTTAGAAACCCTGCTGCCCGACCCAGCTTTCAGCCCAGTCGCTCTCTCAGGCTTTGGTCAAGACTTGCAAATTCAAGCATGCAGACCTCAAAGAGGTTCGTGAATTTCTGGTGAAGGAACAGCATGAGGGCCGTTTCAAGCCCAGCTTGAAATTCTAGGCCAGTGAGTTTATGAACAGCTTATGGTTGTCATTTTGTTCATTATATTCAATTTGTTGACTGCTGACCCATAAATTCCTAATTAATCCGTGGATTCCCAATGGATTTGCACTGCTGAGAAAAAACTGGACAATTTCTCAAAAAATCCAGAGCGTGAAAAGTCCGTGAAAAGGCCGTGAAAAACCCGTGAAAAGGCCGTGAAAAACCCGTGAAAAGCCTCCAAAAACTTATGCCTGAATTTCAATAGTTTTTGATGGTTTTTTGGTTGTATTTTCACTGGTTTTTACTGAAATCTTTGGAATAGTTGGTCGTTTCAAGCAGCATTGGCACTTGTAGGTTAGAAATTGATTGATTACATGGCTCAAAGCTCCATTTTGGAGTGTACGCATGGGGGGTCATGAAATCAGAAATACAAAAAGCAAAAGAAAGGGCCGCTCTTGCTCTCAAGGATGCGTCAGAATCCCAATTGCAAAAAAAATAGGGGGTACATGGTAGCTAGTAACCAAATTCAATTTGGCCAAGGCCATCTGATGGTGCAGCTTTGGATACTCAAGAGGAACCAGGCTGGGTTCATTATTAGCATATATCGATGACCGAAACTCTGAATATATATAATTATAATTAGATCAATCTTGAATCCCTGGAAGGTGGAACTCGTGATGAGTTTACAACGCCGCCTCCAGCCCTCAGAATGAGACGGAAGAGTAGTCAACACAGAGTAGAATCAGCAGAAACTTTGAAGGTTGGAGAGAGTCAAGAAACTTTGGCAACTGACCCTGCTTTGCAACGTGCCACTACTTGTGAGCAAGCTTTGGCTACTCCTTGTGGGACCCCTACACCAGCACCAACAGGGTCTGCAAAAGACATGCCCAAGATCAGAAAGAATCGGCTCAGAAAGATGAAAACTCATGATGTAGAACCAGAACAAAGTCCTGTGAATGAAAAAGCTTTGCCACTGTACCCTGCTGACCGCTCACCAGCCAAACGCCAGAAGGCCAAAGCTAAGGCAAAGGCTTCTCAGGTGTTGAAGAGGCCCGCTATGGCTATCACTGCGCCTGGCAGTTCGAAAGTGACAGGTGGTGGTTCAGGTGTTTTGATGCCAAAGGCCAAGCCCAAAGCAAAAGTGAAAACAAAGGCAAACCCTAAACCAGCAAGCCGTAAGAGAAAGCAACCTGATGAGGACCAGGACGAGGATGAAGAAGAAGAACAGGAGACTGAAGGGAATGGAGATGAGGAACCGGGTGAGACTGAACAGAATGACATCTCAGACAAGGCCAAGATAGCCCACAAGTTGTACATGCGATTTTGGAGGAACCTCAAAAGCCAGGGCCTTAACACTAGTGCAGTTTCATTATTATAGTCAATACATTTGTGAACATCAAGGCCGGAACACGCCAGCAGAAATCAAAGACTTGTCGAAACGCTTCAAGTACTGTCTGGACCTCATATATTAAATCTGATCAAGTGAGTGTCAGTGGTTTTGATTTGTTGATCTTTGAGGCCAAGCTCAGCAACAGACGCTCTATGAGGATTTCTTGAAGCATGGAGGGAATTGGAAAAACGGTTTGATATGGAGAGAAGTAATCAAACGTCACCGGGGAGTTTCTCGTGGTGTCAGAAAGTGGCTGACACGTGCACAGCTCATTACCCATTTTGGGGATGCTGTGGTTGCTGATGCTGTAATCGCCAGAAAAAAAGAAGTTGTCGACCTGAAGAATGAGATTCGTGATCATCCAAATCTTCCAGGCTGGAAGCTCAGTTTAGTTTGATCATTTTGGAGCATTATAGATCGATATATATATATATATATATATCCAGTCATTTTTCGAAATATATTATCGAAATCTATGCACTAGCAGCCAAACTTTTGATCTAGGTTTGGAACAATACTTGGTCTTGACAGAGGACGAAGAGGTACAGGGGGAAGAGAATCTCATGACTGACATGTTTCGCTGCAAAGATGGTGGATCCAACGATGGCAGTACTTCAAGTGATGAGACTGACAGCAGTAGCCAACCGAATAAGAAAAAAAAGAAAACCACTGGCAAGAAAGGCAAGAAGTCGAAAGCTAGCAAGAAGAAGACCACTAAGAAACAGAAGAAGTCAAAGAAGTCAAAAAAAACAAAGAAGAATGATGATGATAGCGAAGACCCAGAGAAAGCAAAGATTGCAGATCTTGAAAAAAAGATTCGCAAGGCAACTGGGGGTTATATAACATCTAAAATCATATATGTTACCAAACCATCAAAATCTCATGGATATGATTTTCCTTGTTGACAGGCAATCGCTGATGTCACCAAGAAGATCAAAAACTGCAATGTGGAGTTGACCAAATCTGCCAACTGGTGCGATCCTCAAATGTTAATTCCATTCAGTCATATATTGATTGATGATTTTCTTTCATAATAATGAGGTCTCCTAACATCAGGAAGGCTCTCCAGAAGGACTTCAACATGGCCCTGACTAGCCTCACATCGTCTCGATCTTCGATGCAGACTGCCCTTGAGGGTGGAACGAAGGACCTGGATCGAATGTGCAGTCGACATAAAATATATATATATACCCTGGGATATATTTTTTCCTATTTATGTGATCTAGAATTATGATCAATATTTTTCAACCCATCTTATCACTTCAGATCCCAAGTGTGGTTATTTAAATCACTTTTGTTTGCAGGACCCTGATTCGATGCAAGCTGCACTCGATGAAAGTGATGGCGCTTGTAGCCAGTATGATTCAGTGATGGCACCCATGGGTAAGAAAAAACCCAAGTCCAAAGATTCGAAAGACTGATCAAAATGATCAAGCTGGGATAACATGGGTCTGTGCAGAATGCTTTTGAAATACAGCATTCTCATCAACTTATTTCCATTTTAATTTTGCCCGTTTTCAGTGTACTGACCCGTGCCTTCTTTCCGATTTCATAGACCCGCGTGCTCCACGCACCTGGCCGGGAAGAGTCGGTGGAAGCTCATAGCGCTATGCGATAGAGGTGATTTTGATGCTGCGCCTCAGTTTAAAAAAATGTATGTGCAATAAATCATTTGTATTTTTCATTGATCGAACTCTAAAGATCTTATCTTTGACATTGTGATTGCGCAGGTGTTTATGGTGATAATCCTCGACAACACCAAATATCTTCAGTTCTGGATGCTGTAGCTGCAGGTGTTCGGTACCAAGTTTGTTTTCCGAGACTGTGAAAACTAGCCTGTTTCCATTGCCCAACACTCAGCTGCTTAGGCCTCCATCGAGGAGAAAATGGCTGACATCAACGCTTGCCTCAGAGATACTTGCAGTGTGAAGGGGTTGACATGTCCAAGAAATCTGTTGTGATATATATCCCCCATTTATTCTGATCCCTGGGCTAAGGATACACCAATTGGTCTTCCTCCTACCATTCACAAGCTGGGCAGCTACAGCCGATTTAATCGTGCTAGAGATTTTCGACGTGCTATGCGGCTGCCGTTGGAGGGGGTACCAAAACCTTAGTGTACAATATATAATATATGTGTAAAGTGGTTGATTGGGCAACAATATTTTTTCAAATTGGATCCGGGTAGAATTTATACCCCATCAAATTGTTTTGCATTATTTTTTGGTGGCCCATCCAGGAGCCACGTATGGTGGAAACAATGGTCAAGGAAAAAATGGCTGGAGATGATATCACCACAAAACCAATGAAGTTACCAGTGTTCTTGCCAGAGGACATCCTTACCTATTTGTTTGGAACACTTGGGATGATCATTGAGGATGAGGCGGTGAACAAATTTTGGGAACATGCCAAACGGTATGATTGCCCTTGGAAAGATATTTCCCCAGATGGTCAGCATTTGCCACTGGGGTTGTATGGGGATGGGGCAAAGTATGCTCCAACTGGGGAAAAAATAATAGCGGTGTTCCTCAATGTGATGTTGTGGAGCCCAAAGAGCTCTCGGATGTCTCGGTGGTTGCTGTTTTCTGTGGAGCAGGACATGTCCCTAGGACCTGCTACGTTCAGGCCATTGGTGGCTCCTATTGTTGAGTCACTATGCCGGTGTTTCAACGGGATCGATGTTGGTGGTCAAACCATCAAATTCTCGGTCGCTGAACTACGAGGTGATTGGGAATGGCATGTGAATTTTTTGGATTTGACCCGATCCTGGAGATTTAGCCAATTTTGCTGGAGGTGTGATACCAGCAAAAAACCTGGTGACCCATATTCCTTTTGGGATTTGTCTGAAGACCCAGAGTGGGAACAAACACATGTTTCCCATGGACAATTTCTGGCACGGATGATCCGCGCTGAAACAGCTAGATCCTTCATTTGATTGGAATTGATTTGATATTTTTTCCCCCTAAAATTGGGCCTAGGAAGAAATTATGTGTTTTTACTATATAGCCAAAAATCTATGTGTCTTCAATGTTAGTTATTGCAGATTGTATCCAAGGTCCACTCCTGCTGTTGCCAAACTTTCACTTTGGGATCATCAAGCACTGCAGCTTACATAATTTGAATCTGGGAATCATGGGAACATGCAATGGTGGAGCAATGTCACCTGGTTGCCCTTGTTTTTTTACAATTTTCCCAATATTTATATATTAGTATTTATGTATGTGTATATATATTATATATATATATATGTATGCATATATGTATATCTATAGCTATATCTATATCATCCTAGTTCCTGCCACACTCCCAGGCTACTACTTTGTGACCTATGCTTCTTCGGATGCTCTGAGACTTTGACATTGAGACAGCGTCTGGCTACTGCATACCGGGATTTTCGTCAGTGGTGTAGTGAAAACAAGGTACAATGTGGTCAGCCTCTTTTTAGAGAGAGCATGGTATCTCGCCTATTTGAGTGACACATAATTTATGACATTGTTTATTCAATGTCATCAGTCTCAGAAGTTATTATAGCCAAGGTATGGAACCAAAGTTATGGGGCCTACTTCACGGCCAAGGGTTACAACAACAGGTGCATTCTGGCGTGGCTGTCAGATTGCCTAGCCATTGCGGTCAAAAAAGATGTTCCTATCAATCGGTATGTTGGGGCATGGATCCAATCCGAAGTGGCACATCACAACATGGAATGGCCCCACCATGAGATGTTGGAACCTTCAGCTTGTTGTTTGAAACTTTGAAGCATTAGACACAACTTAGGATGGTCACCCCAAAAACAACATATATTTCAACATATATTTCCATCCTGCCCTTTTCCATTGCCAAGGGACTCTCTGAACAGAATGTTTCTGGCTATGGAATCTTCGGGCCGGTACCTGTTGCCCGGTGGCATGGGCATTGATATCATTACAGATGTTTGCATGATTGTTCCCCTTGTTTATCTTTTGGTTCTTTAAGGACTGAATGCGAAGCTGATGCCATATATTCCCATGGGATGACTTTCTTGAGAACACACCGTGTATTGACAGCTCTTTCACAAAGGCCAGAGTATATAGCTGTTGCATTGAAACAGAAATTGGATCATTTTTTAAATCAATGGCTAAATTTCTCAACACCCCTGATTGCAGGAACGACCTTCTTTTTTGGATATCCAGACCCAAAATACATGCTGCTTGGCTTACATGACGTTGCTGATTTTTTGGGGCATCTTATGTGTGTGCACGCGCGCTTGCAGATGGTACATCACCAGCTAAGAGATTGCAAACGGAGGAGTTCCTTGGCCAACAAGCTAGCAACAGATCATTACTGTTGTGGCTGCACAAGTGTATATTATATATCGCGTACCTGTTTTTGTGCCCCATGATGAGGATACAATATCCGGTTTGAGCACACTTTTATCGATGAAGATCAAATGAAGTGGGCGAAGAGAGCTTCAGCTTAACATAGCGCATGCAGCATGCACTGAAAAATTACGCGCATGTCTCTAGATGTAACTGTGGAATAGCCAAGGAATTTGTCAACTCTCTGATCGCCGGAATCTTGCAAATTCAATTGCAAAAAAGGCACCAATTCGACTTTTGGCCATGAAGTCTCACATGAAAAGACTCAATAGGGTCAACAAACAAAGGATCATGAAATGAAAAATTGGCGACAAATGAGCGGTGGCGCACTTGTCCGCTGATGTTGATGTGGAGGATGCAGCAGCTGTTGTTGCTGAGGCTGTGGAGTGTATGTGGTGTTTGGTGGGCATCCCTAATCCCTTATAAACCAGGATAAACCTATAACCCCATATGATCATGATCATGTGTATATATCATATCATATCATATCATATCATATCATATCATATCATATCATATCATATCATATCATATATATATATGTCGTCGGTTTTCGATGGCCTTTAGGTAAAGGACGTCCTTTCATACAACGACCTAGTTAAACTCGTCCTTTGGAAGACCTGGGTAATATATATATATATATATTATTTATTAATATATATATATATTATTTATTAATATATATATATATGTGTATATATATATATCTGATTGGTGGTTTCAAACATGTTTTATTTTCCATAATATATGGGATAATCCTTCCCATTGACTTCCATATTTTTCAAGATGGTTAAAACCACCAACCAGATATATAGCAATCAAGGGTGACTGCTCTTCTACAAACTGTGCGGTTTCATCACTTTGATACAATGTGAGGCCCCAATGTTTTTTTTTGGTCAACCATCATCAACCCCATTGACTAGTTCGTTATATCCCCCATCAACCCAAACGTTGCCCAAGTTGAACTATATATATAGTGATTAATGGCGATTAATGGGATTAATATTAATATATTCAACATTATTCAACCATATTATCAATAATTCTCTGCGAATTCTGGGCGAAACCGCTGCCACCCATGGAACCGATGGAACCGCGTCGCCTGCGTCTGCGTAGCCTCCATGGTGAGTCTCGCCGGAACCAGCTTCGCCGGCCGAGCCTTGGGAGTCTCGGACAACAATGGTGCTCGGCTGGTGATTTTCGGCTGGTGAGGCTCAAAAATGTCAGGGAAGTTGGATAGTTAACCAAAGATAATGATAGAAGGTATATGAAGTTATATAATTCAGTGTTTGGCATTGTTTGGCCCAGAATATTCTTTCTTCATCTCTATAGTATATATAAAGGAGCCGGAGAATCAAGGTTTCTATGGCTAAATTATTCCAATTTGTGTGTTGTTTTTGTACGATTTTATCGGTGTTTTTTTTGGGGGGGGACCATTGTCATGTTTTTCCTCATGTTCATTGTCTCGTTGATTCATCTCGCTGTCATCCAGCAGCTTACCATCTTTGATTTGATGCGATATATCCCTATTGATTAACCACTTTGTCTAAAATAACATTTTGGTTGTTGTATCCTCTGTCATTGGTGATGAACTTCCTTTTTTGATTGTGCAGTATATCAGTACTTGAGGGTTCAGTTCAAGCTAGAAGTGTTTGGTTTGTTTAACATAGTTTATAAGTTTATACGGTTCATTTACCAACTTGGGGTTACAATATGTTACAATCCCATGGTTATGCAGCTATATCATATCGTATTTTCTCAATCTCAACTGCATCCCCCACGAAGTATACATATCCCCAAGTGGTTGCGATTGCCGAGGCATACCCCGCCCAAAGCATGGCTGGAAGGCTCAGTCATTGACGTTTGGGCGTTGTTAAACATGGAGGATAGCTTAATTTTCATGCCCAACAATATGGGGAAGATGATGATGCAATGGATGGAATATGGAATTTGATCGAACGTGGGGCCCATCCAAAATTCTGAGGCCCTTTTCTCCTGGCTGATCTTTCCACCAAATTACTGGTGGAGTGGAAAGTGGTCTTCCAACCCCGACGCATAGCAGGGTCGTCATCATGTCCGCTAGGATATTTACAGTGTAGCTGATTAGACATCGGTGATTTCATTTCATCCCTTAAATCGGATTATATTTAATCCCTTTCCCCGCTTCATATTAAACACAACCCCAGAAATCATGGTGTAGTAGTGGATTTGCACCTTTTTGTGACCTTTGAACGGGGGGTGTTTAACATAAATGGGGGATGGAATTCTTCCCGCTATGGCTGGGCGTCTAATGGGATGCTTGGAATAGGGTACCTCTACATCAACTCGTTGGTCGTCATTATCTCATTAAGATGATTAAAATAACATTTTTGGGGGTATACTGGTATACCTTTCTGGTTGGTGGTTTGGAACCATGGAATTTTATGACTTTCCATTCAGTTGGGAATTTCATCATCCCAACTGACGAACTCATATTTTTCAGAGGGGTAGGCTCAACCACCAACCGGCTTATTTTGGATCATTTTTGGACAGAGCCATTTTTTGATACCGCGACGAATGGCCCGAAGAATGGGCAGAACCTGTTCAGCCCGTCAGGTTTCAGTGGCAGCACCTCTCGCTGCAAGCTTTGGGCTTTGGTCGCCGGAACCCGTGTGGTGGCTGGGTTGCAGATGTCCGGGGATGATATATGGGATGATGTCACCAAGTACGAGGCGATGACATAAATGATCTGGTCATTTGCTACATAGCTATTGAAAATGGCCCATGGATTTATAATGACTTATAGTTGAATTATGCGTACAAACATGTGTTTTTTTCCATAGTTATGCTAGTTTACCAGAGGGTAAAGGACTTTAAACATCTTAAAACTAAATAGAAGAACACCAGAATTTCATACATGTTCCCCTTAATCATCCACTAGTGGTATTATGACTCCAGTCCTGGGAAGTCCAATTGATTTCTTGTGTCAACCGCTTCTCCTACCTATCAATCCTATTTGGTGACCTGCATAAAGACTCCATCGGAAAAAAGTTGGTGAAGAAGTGGGTGATGATCCGGGTGATGGTCACTCAGTGTCAGAAAGCCATAGAAGAATATATGTAACATGTATATTTAGAAGACTGTACGGAAAACAGAGGCTGAATTCCATGACCTGTTATGGTCACCGACAGAATTATAGAAAAAAAAAACGTTCAACTTAGACAGGCGGCGCCTGCGTCCGATTTTTCCATAATTAGGTTTTTCCCCTTAAGGGTTCAAAATATCCCGGAAGTGATCCGAACCTTTTTTTTCCATAATTCTTGGAGGTGGCCATTATTTCCATAATTGATTTTTCCTGTAAAATCAGGGGGCTAGGGCAGATTGACCGGTTTTTCCATAATATTTTTTTCCATAATTATTTTTTCCATAATTAATGTTTGGGGCTCCACCTGTTGGACATGTCATGGATCCACAATTCAAACCCCTTTTTTTGGGGGGTTATGGAAATATGTACGCAAATGCAAGTATGTAGTATCAACCCAATTGGTGGCTTGGCAAAAGGATACATCCCGCATATGTATGTACGGACAAAAATGAGTTTTGGTGGTGCAATTGTTTTTCCTTTGTGGCATATACCAGATCTTTAGACACATATTTTCTATAATTCAATATTCGCCCTTAAAATGCATTCAAATTGCGAATCGATGGACATACAGTCACCGACAGAATTATGGAAAAACAAATAATTATGGAAAAAATAATTATGGAAAAAAACAGGTTCGTAACTTTTCTATCATAGACAGGCGGCGCCTGTAAATTGAAACGTTTTTTTTTTCCATAATTCTGTCGGTTCCTGTACATTCCCTTTCTGGGTGGAGGTTTAGACAGTATCCTCCACCGGAGACCGAATCGCCACGGACGCGTCCCAAAATTGATAGGGATATATCTATTAGATGTTAGTGATGTTAGTCAATGTCCATAATGTCCTTTGAATCAATCCATTAAATGATGATGTTCCACGAGTTTCCATTTACGAATGTTTGTATCTTTTTGGCCCAATTTTAAGGTCCTTGCAGATGTGCATCGCAGGTTCGAAGCAGACAAAGAGCTGTGAAGGGCGAAACGGCAAGCGAAGACTTGAAGAAGCAATGGGAGGAGTTGCTTTGGCGGGCTGAGATAGGCTGATGCGTCCCAGGAATTGTCATTGGAAAATGGTTGCATATTGAAGGAATAAGCCTTCTTTGTGGAAGTGGTTATAGAACTTGCAAGAAGCAGTCGGTAATGACCTCATCACCATACCATGTTCTTCCCCAGTTCAATTTTCACGGGTTAAAACCATCGGGTATAGCCGGTATAGCATACGGTTTATCTCCCTTGCCGGAGGTTAAGGTTGTCCAAGAACTTTGTGCTTGAAAAAACACCAGGGTGATTGCAAGGTGGTGCTCCAGTCCGATAGCTAAATTGGTATTTATTATTCCAATAATTAACTGGGATTTAAGGTAGATATATATATATACCTGGTTGGTGGTTTCAAACATGATTGTTTATGTTCCATTTCACATATGGGATGTCATCCTTCCCATCATCCTTCCCATTGACTTTCATATTTCTCAAGATGGTTAAAACCACCAACCAGTATATATATATATGTAAATACTCTCAGGGAAGAAGCTTGGATATGACATGATATGACAGTGTCCCATGGATCATGACAATTCTATCATGATCATGACTATGGCGGCTTGGAATGATTCAACGATCGTGTGACCAGCAAGCTGCGGCAGCGTTTTGAGTGATTGACTAGTTTTTCCTCATGTTGACTCGAACATGGGATGAAGATCTTAAAGTTCAGCCCATATTAGCAGAGAAATCCCAATAAGTAGTGTGTAATTGTGATTCCCGGTTTCTAGTGCTTTTTCAGCCAAGTCGAATGACGCCACTCGGTAAACCCAGATATGTTCAAGATGAAGCACCCAGAATTCAGGGACTTTCCCATCTTTTTGATCCATTTTTGGGTAATGGATTGGAAGATATGGCCAAATTATATTTTATATTGTATATTATATATTATATATTTTATATTGTATATTATATATTTTATATTATATATTTTATATTATATTCTATATTATATATTTTATATTCTATATTATATATTTTCTGTTATATATTATATACTGTGTATTATATATTATATATTATATATTATATGATATATATATATATATCCATTTTTGTTGATCCATTTGTTTATATGTCTTTTTGTTGATCCATTTGTTTATATGTCTTTGGTAATCAACCATGGTCGCTGTGAAATCGCCCTTCACTAAATGCATGGTGATTTTTCGGAAAATCACCGATCGAAATAAAGCTTACCCGGTTATGACTAACATAGCCATGGGAAATGGCCCATAGAAATAGATGGTTTACCTATTCAAAATGGTGAGTTTCTAGTTCGCTAGGTTAGTCATAACCAGATGGTAATAGGGGATGTTCCATTGATCGCTGGAGGGTAGATTCCAATGCATTGAGGTTTTATGAGAAGGATGAGCGTGATGCCAGGGAAATTTGGCGAAATTTGGCCAGGACGGCATGAATTTCAGATGGCTTTCAGATTGCTGGCAGGACATGATGTGTAAAAGTCATTTTCTTGCTAGTATTGTAGTATGTAAGGGTTTGTTCACTACTACAGTATTGACTATATACTTTATGATTTCTTTTGTGTGCTACATGTCTTGTACTTTACGATTTAGCTGATTGTTTCTTCTATGTCTATTTTGTGCCCAGGGGATCAGCAAACCACCTATCCCAGAAAAATATGTCAATGGTCATGTTGTACTTATCCCTAAAAAATGACATGAAGGTTGTACCCTCTGGTAAACTAACATAGCTATTGAAAATTGCCATTTATAGTGGATTTTCCCGTTAAAAATGGTGATTTTCCATAGTTATGTTAGTTTACCAGAGGGTACTCATGTTTCCATAGATCTCCCATGATTTCCAGAGTTCGGACATGTCCCATGAATTGTATCACTGTAAAATGATTTATGTCTTTAGGTATCCCACTGCTGATATTTCACCAGCAAGTCGTTTTGGTATACCCTCTGGTAATTTAACATACTATGGAAAATCACCATTTATAGCGACATTTCCCATGAATAGCATGGTGATTTTCCATAGTTTTTTGTATGTTTACCAGAGGGTATCTCCAAGATGACCGAGACGTCTCATGACGGACTTCCCATGGTGGATCCCGTGGAAGTTCTCCAAGTTTTTCTGTCCAAATGGAACCAGTCGTGGCAGCCAATCGCCTTTCGCATGTAACCAAAACCCCATGGAAACTGATGGATTACATAGAATCTTATGTACTTGAATCATTTGGATTTTTTTATGGAAAAAACATATGTTTCAAACGACATGTTGCCCATCTAAAATGGAATCCCATGGGGAATTTTATGAACTTATGGATTGGTAATATATGCCTATGCTAAATGTATGGTTGGTGTTTTGGAACATGACAACTTTATTTTCCCCTGATATATGGGATGTCATCCTTCCCATTGACGAAGTCATATTTTTCAGAGGGGTGGCTCAACCACCAACCAGATATTCACTGCACCCCCCAAGAAAAATTCGGACATGTAAACATGAAACCCCAAGAAACTGACCAAAGGAAGGCTGGGCCATCGACATCTTTGACGACGACCGGCTGCTTGACGTCGACCAGGCACCAAGGTGACCACAAGACCCATGAAACATAGTTTATATACCATTTGGTTATTTAACATAGCCATGGAAAATCACCCAATTATAGATGATTTTCCCATTAATACCTCCATTTATAAAAGATTTTCCATGGCTATGTTAAATAACCAAATGGTATATGTTTATATTACAATTGGATTTGATTTTATGAGGTTTTAGCGATATTTTTGATTGCATCCCAGTGATTTACAGACACCTGCAGAGCGATCACAGTTCGATGTGGCATTTTCCCAGCATTTCGATGTAGATCAGTTTCCTAGCCCATGACGGATCCATGGTGCTGCTATATATATGGTGCTCCATGGATCCCATCAATATATCCCCTCCCAATGTAAACGCAGCCATATACCAGCACCAGCCGGATCCGTCATGGCTAGGGAAACCCATGAGTTCTCGATGTTTTTATATGCTGACGCCAGTGGGTCATCGGGATCATTGGGATGTACCCCAGAGTCGTTGGTCGCTTTTTGTCGGTCGAAAAACTCGTTTTTTTTTAACCAATACCAGGGGGGAAGAGATTACACAGAAATACCAATACATAATCTGGTTGGTGGTTTCAAACATGAATTGTATTTTCACCTGATATATGGGATGTCATCCTTCCCATTGACGAAGTCATATTTTTCACGATGGTTAAAACCACCAACCAGTAATACATTTGTTGATAAGTGTATATATAGAATTATATATAGTCATCCCCTTAAATAGATGGAAAAGTAAATCACCATCAAATTAGTAGGGATCTACTTTTCCATCTGTTTGGGGATGACTATATATATATGTATATATATATATATATAGATAATGACATGTACACGCATAAGGTGTTCTATACATATAATAGATAGATGTCAATCAATATACATGTGTACAAAGTGAGCCCCCCAATTATAAGTTTGAAAACCCATGAATACTAGCTCGTTATATCCCTCAACAACCCAAACGTTATTGGAGTTATGTGGCTCCCAACTGAGGTACCATAAGACCAGCCATATTTTCTTGGTGGAATCATGCCTATGGTAACCTAGCTGACTAAATCCATCTAACAATCACCTTAGCTCGTCATTTTTGTTCGTTAAATCACCATGTTCCTATAGTTTTCCTATAGATTTCCTAGCGTTTTCCTATAGTTTTCCTGTAGTTTTCCTATGGTTGTCCTATCGTTTTTCCTACAGAAGGGGTACTCATGGGGGGCGCAGGTGTGCAAATTGTAGAAACGCGCATTTTTTGAGAGCTACTGTGATGAAAGCAACTTCACATGAAAAACATGCAAAAAAAAACAATGGAAAAAATCACCCCATGTCCCCAGCCAGGCCTCTCCCCAGACCTTGCCCATGGGTCTGAACTTTTTGTTTTTTTTGTTTTTTTTGTTTTCTCAAGGTTTTGGCCAAATTGCAAAAAACCATGGAAAAAACCAAAAAAAACAAAAAAAACAAAAAAGTTCAGACCCATGTCCCCAGCCAGGCCTCTCCCCAGACCTTGCCCATGGGTCTGAACTTTTTGTTTTTTTTGTTTTTTTTGGTTTTCTCGAGGTTTTGGACAAATTGCAAAAAACCATGGAAAAACCAAAAAAACTAAAAAAAAACAAAAAGTTCAGACCCATGTCCCCAGCCAGGCCTCTCCCCAGACCTTGCCCATGGGTCTGAACTTTTTGTTTTTTTGTTTTTTTTGTTTTCTCGAGGTTTTGGTCAAATTGCAAAAAACCATGGAAAAACCAAAAAAAACAAAAAGTTCAGACCCATGTCCCCAGCCAGGCCTCTCCCCAGACCTTGCCCATGGGTCTGAACTTTTTGTTTTTTTTGTTTTTTTTGTGTTTTTTGTTTTTTTTGGTTTTCTCGAGGTTTTGGCCAAATTGTAAAAATTATGGAAAAACCCAAAAAACAAAAAGTTCAGACCCATGTCCCCAGCCAGGCCTCTCCCCAGACCTTGCCCATGTGTCTGAACTTTTTTTTTTGGGGGGGGGTTTTCTCGAGGTTTTGGCCAAATTGCAAAAAACCATGGAAAAACAAAAAAAAACAAAAAAACAAAAAGTTCAGACCCATGTCCCCAGCCAGGCCTCTCCCCAGACCTTGCCCATGGGTCTGAACTTTTTGTTTTTTTTGTTTTTTTTTGTTTTCTCGAGGTTTTGGCCAAGTTGCAAAAAACAATGGAAAAACAAAACAAAAACAAAAAAAACAAAAAGTTCAGACCCATGTCCCCAGCCAGGCCTCTCCCCAGACCTTGCCCATGGGTCTGAACTTTTTTTTTTTGGTTTTCTCGAGGTTTTGGCCAAATTGCAAAAAACCATGGAAAAAAAAGTTCAGACCTATGTCCCCAGCCAGGCCTCTCCCCAGACCTTGCCCATGGGTCTGAACTTTTTGTTTTTTTGATTTTTCCATAGTTTTTTGCATGTTTTTCATGTGAATATGCTTTCATCACAGTACCTCTCAAAAAATGCGCGTTTCTACAATTTGCACACCTGCGCCCCCCAGGCCAAATTGCAAAAAAAACATGGAAAACCAAACTGCATTTAATGACTTATATCATGACTAATATAATGATTATATGTATATATCATGATTTATTTTTTAAATAATATCATGGTTCATAAAATGACTAATATAATGATCAATATAATGATCAATGTAATCATTGTTTTAATTATGAATTTCATGCTTAATAAAATGCTTATTATCATGATTCATAAAATGCTTAATATAATGATTAATAAAATGATCAATATCATGATTATAATCATGGTTCATATAATGATTAATTAAATGATTATTATAATGACTAATACACTGACTAATATAGTTATTAATAAAATGTTTATTAAAATGATTCATATAATGATAAATATAATGATTCATTTCATGATTCATTTAATGACTCATATAATGACTAATACAATGATTAATATAATGATTTATGTAATGGCTGATATAATTTTTGAATTTATTGGCTACTACAATGATCAATAACATGATTCATAGAATGATAAATATCTTTTAATGATTCTTTTAATGACTTTAATGACTAATATAATGGTTAACATACTGATTAACATCATGATTAATATCATGATTCATATAATGATAAATATAATGATTTACCTAATGAGTCATTGAATGACTTATATAATGGCTAATATAATGATTACTACTACGATTAATATGATGATTAATAAAATGATTAATTTCATGATTAACATAGTTGCGATTATGATGGTTGATATAATGATTAAGTTAATGATTAATATAATGATTTATCTAATGGCTAATTTAATGAATATATAAATGTAAACAATGCGTAATGTAATGATTAATTTTATGATTAATATAATGTTGAATATAATGATTTATTAAATGATTAAAAACAATAACTATTATAATCATGAACATAATAATTTATATTATGATTAATTTAATGACTTATATAATGACTAATGTCATGATAATATTTCTACAATGATTAATTGAATGATGAATGAAATGTTTAAAATAATGATTAATATAATGATGATTTTAATGATTGATATAATGATTAATTTCATGATTATTATCATGATTAATTTAATGATTAATGTAACAATAAATAAAAGGGCTAATATAATGACTAATATAATGGTTACATATGTATTTTTCATGATTAATAACATGATTAATATAATGACAAATATAATGATTAATACAATGATTAATATAATGACTAATATGATTCATATCATGATGAAAAATGATGAATATCATGACTAGTAAAAATATTAATTCAATGACTAATATAATGAATAATTTAATGATTAATTTGAATGACTAATATCATGATTAATACAAATATAGATATATTGACTTATATAATGACTAAAAACATTACTATATATATGATGATTCATTTAATGATTAATTTAATGGTTAGTACAATTTTCTGTACAATGACTAAAATAATGATTCATTTCATGATAAATATAATGATTCATGTCATGATTCATTTCATTACTTATATAATAACTTATTAAATGATTAATATCATGATATATGTAATGGCTGATATAATTTTGAATTTATTGACTAATATAACGATTAATATCATGATTAATGAATGATAAATAGAATGATATAATTGCTTCATATCATAATAAATATAATGACTAATCTAATGATTCATTTAATGACTTATATAATGAACATTATAATGATTAATATAATGATTAATATAATGATTAATGTCATGACTGATATAATTATGAATTTAATGACTAATATAACAAAATCAGGACTTTCACAACCTCGCCCCCCATGACTACCCGCTCTCTTTTCCTATGGTTTTCCTATGGTTTTCCTATGGCCTTTCTATGGTGTTTGTTGGTGAAATCTACGGTAAAATCCCAATCCTCAGGCCTCACCAGTCATTCCCTGCCGAGGTTGCTGAAGGTCATCATGACCCCATCCCCGCGGAAGTCGCGAGCACCTTGGCCGCCTTGGCCATGAAACGTGGTGCTGTAAAAATGGGATGTGTCCCAAAATGGGGAAAGCATCGGAAAATGCTGACTTAACCAACAAACATATGGTGAAAATCAATGGGTGATGGAATATGTCTATTTCTATGGCATTTTTGACGATTCACCAATGGAATATTGCTAGGATATAGACAACTCTTATTTTATAGTGTATTTCAACATGGGAGATGCATCTTCCCAGATCTGATAGATGATGATTCTTGAAGGTTTTTATTACGGCACTTCACGCTTCAGATAGTTCGGTTCGTGATGGTTAGTTCCAGGTTTGGTAAAATCCACGTGGAAAATCCAAGTGGAAAATCCTATAGGTATCCAGATAGACCATCCAATAGTGAAAATCCTATGGAAATCCTATGGACTGGGGCCCCCTAGATGGTAAGTTGGTTTATAACTCCAATAACTATGGTTTATGGTACTTATAACTATAGTTATGGGGGTTTATAAACCTTATAACTGTGTGGCCCCACATTGTATGGACATCCTATGAAAATCCTAAGACCATCCAATTTCCTGTAGTATTTCCCTTCAATCATTCCATTCGTGTTTTGCCTTCAAGCTGGATGGTCTCTCTGTTTGTTGTTTTTTCTCACATGAACCCACTACGAACTATATTCCCCATAGACCCAGCCGTGAAGTAAGGAACCAACTCAGCCATCATAAGTCAGAGAAATCAACTATGAATCCCATTTATCATTGATTTATCTTGTTTCAATGGGATCATTTATCATGGGATTTACATCATGAGAAATCATACCATTGGATTCATGGGATCATTTCCCATGTTTGCTAGTTACCCAACCTGGTTATGACTAACAGTTCGCCATGGTATAGATGGCCCATAGAAATAGATGGTTTACCTATTAAAAATGATGATTTTATGTGATTTACCTATTAAACATGGTGATTTTCTAGTTCGCTATGTCAAATTACCAGATGGGAAATCCCCATGTTACCGCTTCGCGACATCGTTTGGACAGCTGCACCTTGTATGAAACTTATATGGAACGCTCACAAGCCTGGAGTGTGGCCACTGGTCTGACTCGGGCACCTAGCGATATTTTTTCGGGTAATGATATTATGAACACAATTAATAAGGCCCTTTAGCAGTTATAGATACCTATAATATGTATATGTAAATATAATATATACATACATAAATGGGCTTGTAATTCCAGTTTAATGGGCTTCTCTATAACTGACTGAGTCGCTGGTATTTCGGGCCATAGCGGGCCTTGTGGCATTTGGTCATCCATTTGCCAGTGGTTTGCATTGGTTTGTCAAACATCCCACCGGGTGGGAAACTGAACCCACGTTTTGTCTGTTCTTGGCGTTCATATGCTAGACATTGGATGCGAAACGCATGGTTTTGGCAAACAATTTAATTCATGATATTCGCCGTGCCAATGTGTTTTGGTTTTTTTCTTGCGTTTTGCAATGTTTTCTGCATTCATGAGCTTCCAAAATCAGCGTCATGTTTTTGCAGTTTTCTTGAAATATGCAGGTTTTAGCACATTTCTGCGCGCGTTTTTTTCTATCGCCAAGGACAGTCATCTAGACTGGACAGTCTCATTCAAGACTTTGGCAGTCTTTTGAAACAAGCTGGTATGTGAGGAAGTGCAAGAAGACGTAAAGTAGCGTAGCATCATGTATGTGAGGAAGTGCAAGAAGACGTAAAGTAGCGTAGCATCATGTATGTGAGGAAGTGCAAGAAGACGTAAAGTAGCGTAGCATCATGTATGTGAGGAAGTGCAAGAAGACATGGAGTAGCGTAGCATCATGCATGTGAGGAAGTGCAAGAAGACTTACAGTAGCGTAGCATCATGCATGTGAGGAAGTGCAAGAAGACGTACAGTAGCGTAGCATCATAATATGTGCGGAAGTGCAAGAAGAGTTACAATAGCGTAGCATCATAATATGTGCGGAAGTGCAAGAAGAGTTACAATAGCGTAGCATCATGTATGTGAGGAAGTGCGAGAAGACGTACAGTAGCGTACCATCATGTATGTGAGGTAGTGCAAATGAACGTTATTAGCCCACCCCACCCGACCCCAGCCCTTCCCACCCCAGCCCACCCCCTTAACCCCATGAAAGTCATAGAAACATGCAAAACGCTGGTTCGGTTTTCCACCCGTAGGCTCAAACATGGCCCAATTTGGCATCTATATTGGCTATATTGGCTATAGTCATCCCCAAGAAAATTCATCAAAGTGCCGCCTTACATTTGGTGATTAATTAAAACAACCCCGTGCAATAGATAGAAAAAAACAATCAAACTTAGAAATTATGCAGGAAGCACCATGGAAACATTTAGTTTCTTTAGTTTTTCTATGAGAATGTATGATATATATATATATATATGTATGTCTACAGTTTGGGTGAATGGTAGAGTTCCACGAACTGCTTGGCCGCCTGGCTATTGATATGACTTCTAGCAATGATGGGTTTGTTTGATCAATAATAGTTCGTTCCGGAGGCTCACCATGTGGATGATGAAGGCGCGATATACTTTGCAGACGCCATCTTGGACTCGCTGGAAGAAGAAAACATTCTGTATACAGTCTGTGGAAGACAGCATGGGCAAGCGCTGCCAAAGAGTTCGCTGGGAGGCGAACGCATTTGACACATCTGCGGTTGCGCCACAAAAGAGACAATCAATATGCCTGTTCTGGCACTAAACAAATCAAGATCATTCTGTCCTTGCACGACGCTGATTGCGCCTGTAGAAATATGGAGTTTGGATACTATGTATATATATACTGTATACATAAATGTGTATTTTCATAAGCGCGTCTCTTCTGGCATATATATATATATTTATAAATTTGAATCAAATAGCTAAGCAAATTGAAAACCTGGACATGTCCGATGGAACATCATCTGTACGTCCGGGTGCAGTTCCAGTCATGAGTGGTTCTGTATATATATATATGTGTGTATATATATATGTGTGTGTATATATATATACATATTCAGGAACCTAATAGGGGCTTAGGGGCCCTATCTCCCAGGTTATACCCATGGTGCCATGAAACCCCAGCTGGCAGCGATTCATTCCTCCGAAGCTTACGTGGCTCCGAGGTGGTTCGACCCATGATGGGTGACAAGGCAGGGCATCCCATGTTCTTGTAGACCTTTCCATGAAATTGGATACAGTAAATATGTGTCATCTCTTTACACAACGTATGTTTAGTTATACTATATATATATACATGAATGTGGGTCAAAGTGGAAGACCTAGGGGACCACAGATGTTAGTCTAGTTTAGTATTAACCATCCAATTATTGGGGTACCTAATTTTGCCTAATTTTGACCCATATAATATATATATATATATATATACATACAGTACAGACATACGCCTATCGACCTTGGTTTTATCCACTAGGCAAACGCTTTTCGAAAATCTCCACAGGTGACCATCAGCTACCAATGGGGCCTGGATGGCGAACAAAGCATCGAAACTGGACGGAATGGGATGATGAGGGACCGTGTTTTCAAGGATTAACCTGTGGTAATTGTTCATTGCTATGGAACATCACCAATTTGTTATTTATATATATATATATGTTTATTTGTTTATTCAAAATTTAATATCGTAAATTATCTCTAAAATTGCCATGTTCCTATGTTAAATTACCGGATGGGACCTCGGTTTGATGGGGATTCAGCGGAACAATGGTGATGATTACAAACAGAAACTGACTGAGGATTGGGGGTTTTGTCCTCAGCACAGAGACCAGTGCATTCTGCCAGGGTTTCGTTTGGGGAAAATTTCATGCTAGGGCTGCGTTTCGGGGATGGGATTAGTTGTTGCTTTTCCGAATGACCATTTGGAGTACTCCTCTAGGGAAACATCAATTTGATTGCCCAACGAATTAGCTGTGGGGGATCATGATGTGTGAGTGAGGGACTGTGAGTGAGGGACTTGCTTCTATCATCTAAAGGATTGTCTCACTTAGTAGTTACCTCTGTTGATCGACGAATTCTGAAGTTCTACTACAACCAGTAGAGTCACTGAGTCAGTAGAGAAAAAAAACAAAAAATAATTTGAAATTTGGGATGAACAACTATAGAATCATATAGAATCCATAGAGGAAAACTTCCCAATCCTTTCCCAATCAGCGTCCCCAAGGACTCCTGTGACTCCTTCACCTTCCGCGTGGGTCACGGTGACGCTCCCATTCGTGGCCTTGATGAAGCGGCACCTGGGCGGTCTTCAACGGAAAAATTTGGGGAAAAAGAACGGCACCTGGTGGGCTCGAAAACAGAATGACATAGCTATGGTTAATAGTGGTTAATAGTGATGGTTAATAGTTATCCCTGGACATACATCAGAATTATGATGGGATGAATTGGGACTGTATAAAAAAAACAAAATGATCGTTGATGGGTTATTATAGGAGATTATATTACCTGTTTTTTCATGGGGATTATGATAACTGCTACTGGGGATATGTCCGACAGATTATCTACTAGGTCAATCGACTGCATGGATACTTTAATCCTAACTAGTCTTTTGGTATGGGGATATCTACGTTCACCAGCAAAGAATTTATTTTTTTGCCGGGTATCTAAGATTGGCACTGTAGCTATGGAAAATGGCCTATATCGATTATTTATATATGATTTACAGATGATTCATGCATGTTTTTGAAGATTTATGATGGCTATTGGTAGCTAGTGGTAACTGTTGACTAGTGGTAACTAAGAAATATTGTAAACAATGGGATTAGAACGGGATTTTGCCCGTTTACCAACTGGTGCAGGATTTCGCAGTCATCCACAGTATGGGGACTCAATGGACACAATGAACAGACAGAGGGATTCAAGGCAGCAACAAGTTTGATGACCAAAAATCCAGCACAGAACTTTTAGAATTTCAAGGTCCAATGAGAACATATCTTCCAAACGCAAGGGTTTTGGGTTCCGTGCTAGATGTGGAGGATGTAACGCTTCATGAAGGGTATTTCAAGCATGGGGAAAAGGGGTTGACTGTTAGCGCTGATACTTGAAGCCCCAGGGGATTTCAGTCCACTAAACACATTATTATTTGGTGTGATAGCAAAAATTAGCGATCTGATTGGTGGTTTGGCAGTTTGGCACATTTTTTTATTTTTCCATATATTGGGAATAATCATCCCAACTGACTTTCATATTTTTCAAAGGGCTAGGTATACCACCAACCAGCCATGTATTTGAGTACCTTTAAGAATGCTGCTATGATCAAAGACGAAAATATATAGATGTGTGACCATCCAATCAGAGCCAGATCAAAATGGGAGGTTCAACAAAGGTACCGCCAAATCATCGTTTTTATTGGCATCGTCCATACCCTCTGGTAAACATACAAAAACTATGGAGGATCACCATTTTGAATGGGAAAAGCAACTATTTCGACTGGGCCATTTTCAATAGCAAACTGTGAATGTTTACCAGAGGGTGAATTAATCCAGCGATCATGGGTACCCCCATGACTTAGGAACCTCCCAAATGATGATGATTCAGCCCTTTGCGCTGCAGCAAAACCCTCTATCAAAGAATTCTAATTACAATGGCCCGTTATCATGGTTTCATGGTCCATGGTATAACAATCTGAAGATGTCAAATATTCAATGCGTACTATGCCTTCATCTTCTCCAATCATGATCTCAACGATCAGGAAATTCCTGGAAAGTCTGAACACGCTTCCAGGTACCCTCTGGTAAACATTCACATAGCGAACTGGAAAATCACCATTTTTTTATGGGTAAATCCACTTCTTCTATGGCCATTTTCAATAGCTTTTTCTATGTTTATCAGAGGGTATATCCATTATATATCCTAATAAATCCCATTAAATTCCAGTAAATCACCATTGAATCACCATTGAATCCCATTAAATCCCATTAAAACCCATTGAATCACCATATGGGTAGGGTTTTTGATGATTCCCTCCAGTTCGATGATTTGCCACGGGGATTACCGCCATGGTGGCGAAACGATCGAGGTGCTGACGATGAGTGAGGGCGAGGTCTCCCACTTTTTCATCGCACCCGACTTGGCCTACGGACACTTGGACCGAACATCTCGCCACGGTCGGTAGAACGGTGCCAGTGGTTAATCTAATTTGGCGATGGAAGAAAACATCACAGCAGTATGTCCTAAGTTACATGCACGTATATCTAAAGATCCTTTAACAGAATGACAGTAGTTCTCATTGCCATGCTTTGATCACCGAAGAGTATATTCATGATGTATGCAATGCATGCAAGCCACAAGGGTGTAGCTGTTTCAGCCACAACTTCTGATGTTTGGTTGATCAGGGCCATGCAGTCATCCTGAAGTAGATAGGATATGGGAAATTTCAAGAAAGCATCACCAAAAAGGACATATCTTTGACCATTCCGTATTCTATCTACTCCAGCATTACTATCTGGTTGGTGGTTTCAAACATGAATGTTATTTTCCCCTGATATATGGGATGTCATCCTTCCCATTGACGAACTCCATCATGTTTCAAGATGGTTACTGCACCACCAACCAGCTATAATTATTTTCTTAATCACTATTAATCACTATGATCATTATTAATCAATCATTAGCCCACCATTTATCTCATAAATCACTATATCCTAGTAAACAGATGCTATGATCATCAGTTGTCCCATGACAAAAATGGTCATTTTTCAGGGGTATCCCCGGGATCCCCCATATTCTGAGCCAGATATTAAGCTCCTGGCCATCTGGCCGGCAATGGATTTCCGGCGACAGGAGAAGAAGGAAGGGATGGTGTCCCTCCAAATGCTTCACTGGAATATGAGATTCATCTACTCAAAGCATCTGGTCCGATATTGGGTGAAGTGCGTGCTGTGCGTGCTGAAGGTTGGGATACTGGGGAATGTGTTTTTTTTTTGCGCGGAACTATGAGCAACACAGAAATTACGGAGATGAATGTAAAAGTATTACATGTATGTGTACATATGTATTTCATATTATTGTATTTAATAGTATATATATATAATTGAAATATTAATATATTTATGTAGAATGTAGCATGTATATATATATATATTAACTACATTGTCAAATTAGATAGGTGTACATATATAATCATCCTGAAGTAGGTATACTATGGGATTTTCAGCGATGCCCTAGCTTTTTCGAATTTCTTCAGTGAACGAGAAGCGTGGGTGCTCTCGCACGGATAATCAACATAAACCATTAAAAAAACACACACCAAAAAAAAAACACGTAAAAATGGGGTCCCTATTTTATCACACTCTCCACGTATAAGGGTATAAACCACAAACATTATATAAATGATGTTTTAAACAAATTATGCTAAGGTTGTATTAGTTTTAACTACAAAGTGACGACTGCAATATAACTTTATGTTTTATCCACCAGCTTTGAATAACTGGAGTCTTAAGTGACTAAGTTTTGTTTTGTGTGTACATGATTACTTCATGTTATGTCCATTATAGTCCTTATACCGCAGCTACTGAGTTGAATATTAAACCCCACGCACGCGCACACACACACACCAATTCGTAAGTGGGGTGCACCACCAAGTATCAATATATATATATATATATATACACCTTACCATTTTGATTTTCAGAATCTTAATTGTCGTGGCCATTGCTCAATTGCTCAACTTTCTGTACTCAGCATCAGATCCATGACCAGTGTTCTGTTGGAGAGGGGTTCCCAAATCCACCACTGAATTATCTATTTCCATATCTCGAAACCATGTTTTCTATATTGAAACCCATGGTTCACACCCATGTCTCTTCAAGACCTGCCTCTTCAACTCACTGGACGAGGGTGGTGGGAGCTAAGTAAACCTAAATAAAGTTACCCCTTCCGCGACCTAAAAGTGGGATTTGTTTAGTTTTGTTTGTAGTTTTTTCCCTACTTTCTGTCAGTTTTCCTTGGTTTTTGTCCTAGCATTCTTTAGCTTTCCTCTGTTTTGTTTAGACTTTTTAGTTTCCTGCGGAATTCTTTGTTTCTTCTGTCGATTTTGAACTGATTGTGTGTTGAGTGCCAGTGGTGAGATCTCCAAAAATCATCAAATATCAAGCAGAATAAAACTGGATTGTTCTGGCATAACATGTACCTAGTTGGTGGTTTGGAACATTTTATATGTTTCCTTTTTATTGGGAATAATCATCCCAACTGACTAATATTTTTCAGAGGGGTAGGTATACCACCAACCAGGTACTGTAGTGTTTGTTCAACAATTCCTTCAGCTTCCGATTTCCCATGGGCTTCCAACATGTCCAGTTCCAAATTATTTGAAGAGAAACACCGAAGAGGCATGCCGCTCCTATGATATTTGGTTGATTTTGGTTGATATGTATATATATACACATAATACAACATATATATATATTATTACGTAATTGTATAGTTAATATCTGGTCAGTTGATGGTTGACATATGATTGACATATGGTTAACACACCGCCATGGTTCCTATGAGTTGGGCGTTGTTCCACCGGCCGCTGCAGGTCATAGACATGGATCCGGAGATCGAAGAGTTCGATGACGACTTCGAGATCCCTGACGACCTGGACCGACCAACAAGAGGATATTGGATGTTTACCAGAGATTTAAGCAACACAAATGGTGATTTAACATGATAGAAACCCAGGGAAAATGATGATGTTCTATGATTTAACCTGGGATTTTTTGATGAATTTAATGCGATAAATTGTGAATTTCATGCTGGTAAATTGAAATCAAACCATCAAAAAAGGGACTATCATTGGATATTACAATGAAAAGTTATTTCATATTAGTGGAACATTTTTGGAGTATGTTTCTCATGAAATCCGACACTAAAAGCTGATTTTCTCTATGGTGATTTAATGGGAATTCTATGGGAAATTACGGACATTTAACGGCATTTTATGGGACTTTATAGGAATTGATAGAATTTTTTGGGATAAATGGTGAATAAATTTGGATTACCCTTTGGTCATGACTAACATAGCCATGGTATGGCCCATAGAAATAGATGGTTTACCGAACTTAAAAATGGTGACTGTCCATGGCGAACTGTTAAATAACCAGATGGTAATGATGATTGAGCAGTGATCTAATGGGAATTTTCATGGTTAGTGGGATGTCGACTGGAATTTGACCAAGAAAAGTCATAGATTTGACCAAACATGGCCTTCGCCGCGTTTGGACATCCCAGGGCGCTTTCTGGTGAAAAAACTACTCAAAGAGGTAGAAACCATATGCAGAAATTGCAATTAATTTGGGGTTGACTTTCACCATCAAACCCATACAGGGGATCATTTGCTTAGTTGGTCATATTTAATATGCCACAGATTTTAGTGGGATTTGATTGTCTAGTTTTTTTTTTTTGTGTTTCCTTTCCGAGCTGCAGGACAAGATGGGCGAAAATGATCTGGGCAAAGGCCAAAAAATGGTGCGCAGCGTATGTTTCAACCAAGGACCAACAATCATTTGGATCCAACAAAATGGAAGATATAGGGGTTGTATACCGAGTTGTTTTGGCATTTTATGGTGATCGAATTGTGTTTCCACCAAGAAAGATGTGGCTTGCTTATAATGAATAATGACTAATTATGGTTATATCGTTTGAGAGTGAGGATATTAAACCAGCCATTTTATGGGTATACTACCAACTCATGGCAATCATGATCTTATAAGATGATTTGACCAACAAACATGGTGAATATTTGCAATATCAATCAAATTGCGTTTGTTTAATGAGATACAACAGGGCATGGTAACGTAATTTGTGGAAACGTTGGAGGTGTAGTTTTGTACTTGTATGTTTTTGTCATTTTGATGTGTATATCCACCAGCCAGTTTGAAACAAATACAGTGTATCTAAGATAGGCCATGGAATGAACGGCTAAGTATCACTCAGAAGCAAAACAAATAGATAATCCAATTGCAGAAACTCCTTAAATCACAATTTACCAGCTGTTTATTTAACATGAAATGGAAAATCACCATGTTTAATAGGTAAATCATCTATAAATGGACCATTTTCCATGGCTATGTTAAATAACCAGAGGGTAAGTAAGGTATTTTGGGGCCTCACCTTGTAGTAAATGAAAGCCGTTTCTATCATTGAATACCTCTAGTGGCACTAACACAACATGAAAGTGGTACTGGTACTGGCCCAGTTGCTTAGCTGCTTACAAAAACCCTCACATGATTCATGAAGGCTTAGCACCGAACATTACATTTGCTCCACGGTGAAAAAGATAGCTTTGTTCAAACATCGTGAATTCGCAGAGATGCTCTGGAACCTCAATGTTTCCCAACTTTCGAATCCAGGTCACCAAAATTGTTGGACGAAGCGGTGAAACATCAAAAAATGATCCCATGATTTCCATTGCTTTCCCTCATAGGTAGAGTCCCCGCGAGGTCTTAAAATGGTGGATCGCCGGTCACAAAAAGGTTGTTTCAATTGGATGATTCTTGGGGTGGGCCATCTTAAGCAACCATGATATTACAACGGAATGTCAATGAATACAATAATCATATCATAATCAGACACCTTTTTTGGGGTCTTAAATGATGACAAAAAAGGTGTTATCCATACTTTAATATAATAATACATACTTAAATAATATATGGTTCCAGAATATGTTCACAAATGATGACTTTAAAAAAGTCGGGGGTGTTTTCTGTTCCCGGCGTTGCAGCGTTGCAGCCTGGGCCTTTTGGAGCGCAGGTGGACAGGACGAGACCTACAGATGGGAACGCCATGGCCAGGATGGGTTGTCATATCTATCCATTCATCTATATCTATTTATATCTATTTATATCTATTTTATCTTTTTATATCTATTAATATATATATATATATATATTTGTATATCTATTTTATCTATTTATATATATTTATATCTATTTATATCTATTTGTATGCAAAGAGAGACACCAATAGCTACAGATCAAAGGTGTCAGGATGCTCTCCTCTACGGGTTGCATCCCTATCTCTGCAGGACATGCTGGTTTGGATCCCTATCTCTGAGTCCACGACCAGCAAAGAAATCGATTGTTTGTGCCTTTGCTTCAGATAAGAATGCAACCAGCAGGAGTGTAGATTCAAAATTGCAAATTAGTTTAAACCTATTTTAATGGGGTACATGGCTATAAACTAGTGACCCAGTGCTATGGTGTGTTGGACAAATCCATAAGACTTGACAAAACCGAGCAAAAAGATGGACCATTAAGAGCAAACATGGAGCAAGTCTTGATTTATTAGGGAGGGCATTTATTTTCACCCTATCTTAGATGGCTGTGAGCCAATATGAATATAGTTCGAACCTTTGGATCCTGCAATGGCTATACTTCCCCGGCTGAATCAGATATGTGTATGGGCTGATGAAAATATCCATACAAGATGGTGCACCCAGTTTTAGGTTGATTTATTAACCATTATCTAACATCATCTAACAATAGCTACAATCATCCTAGTCTAACTATAGTTATTATAGCTATTTCATGTTAAGTGTCACCATTTTTAGCCCAGTGAACTTGAGCAATTTTGCGCTTTGCGACCGCCGAAAAAACCGTTAAGCCCCAGGTTGTTAAAGACTCACATCAATGCCGAAGTGGCGGGCCAGGCCGATAGCCTTGGAAATCAGAAACGGGAGAACCCCGGACCGCGAAATCGTGAGTGGGTCCAAACCACAAAAAAATCATGTTTAATTCCCCATAGGATCCATGGTGCTGGTATATATGCTAACATAAAGGGGATATATTGATGGTAAATGTTACTATATAATTATAGCATCCTATGGGTTCATGTTCAATCCTCATTTGAACCAAAACGAAGTGAAACAAAGTGAAACGACATGGTTTAAATATACTCTTTCATGTTTTTTGTTGTTAACCATGGTAATCTGGATCGGACAATCTGGGTTTTGTGGTGTGGATTCAGCCACTGCTCCCCATGCGCGTTACGTCCCGCGAGGTGATCTTCGATGGCGTGCCGGGTCTGGACATCGACGAAGACGAGAGCTACTGGGAGCGCCAGCGGGAGATTCCGCCTAACGGGATAGCAAGATGGCCATCCAATGTGGTGGGGAATCCTACACATGTACTCACCGTCTTCTCACTTGCTTTCCCAGACATGGGAGGATGGGGTGGGGAGGCGAATAACGTTCCTTGGCCTTGATCTGGGAAGAAGAAAATTATCAAGGACGCAACTTCCATTTTTTCTCTCTACGTCTTCCATGTTACTCGATACCGCTTCAACGAAAATCAACTTCGTGGTCACTACATCACTACATTGGAACATGTTACATACAGATATTAACCTAATGAAACAGGAGGCCACCCAAATCTGCAAATAACACATGATGATAAACCCCGCTGACCACATTGATGTTTCTGACGATCCATTTATGTACATGATTATGACATGATAGATATACTTGCACAAACCTACCAAATGGCTGCAGGCAAACATGACACATTCATGATTCAATCTTGAAAGATCAGAGAAAACACGGTCCCTCACACGGCGCGTCCTAATATTTAAAACACTCCATATACGAACTCCCAAAATAAATAAATACATAGTAAACAATCTGTTCGTTCGGTATCTAATATTCGGGGAACGGAGTATTGATTACATATTTGTAATTGTTAGCCTCTGCTTAATGAACATAGACCCTGAAAATCACCAATTTTTAATAAAAACTAATCTTCCAAATCCTATCTGGCAGGGTCGAGCTGTTAATTTACCAGGGGGTACAGCTCCCTCACTCAGCGCCATCGTGGCCACCATGATGTTGTCGAAGATGACTGTCTGCCAGATTCCGCAAAAACGGCAAGGTTTAAACAACTGTCTTGTTGATTATATATATATACATGTATATATAAATAATAAGTATATTCTATATATTATGATACATGTTTGCTTGAAAGCGCAAGCTTGGCGGGTCATAGCCCCAAGCTTGTTAGTTCTTGACTCTACGACGCCCGTATTCTGATCCCAAACATCTCATTGCAGGAGATAGAGATGGATTCCACTGGACAGCGATGTGTTTGCATCCATCTGCGCAAGGTGCGAACCCGGTAATTAGGGTCTGCAGGAAGATTGGCTGCCATTCGTACGCAAGGTTGATTTCGGCAAGTTTGCTTTGGAAGGCTTAGATGGATTGAACTACCATGAACTACCCAGTTGAAAAATCAACATTGACTAAGCACTACGGGATGAGCAAATTGCCAAGTTGAGCGGATTCTTGCGATCAATATGGATGACTCAAAACGACTTCGCACCGACCCAGTGGGCCGAAAATTTGGGCCTAGGGTGTGACCTTCAGAAAGAAAGCCAGTTCAGATGAATAATGCGCCAGATCAATGAACATTGAATGCTTCTCCATCTTCTCACTGGGCTGGGGAAACGCGACCATATCCAGGATGGCTTCAGCCGCCTGATGTTCAGCCTGTAATTTGCATGATGATTTGGTGATTCAAACGCCGTCAGGATCACGAGTTCCAACGCTGGCCTCCGAAGCTATTGAAATGACGGAAAAGAGAATGACCGAACTGTGAGAGATGGTGAAGGATTTGGGAAACCTATGGAAAATCGATGGAATCTATGGAAATCTATGGAACATTAGAAATCTATCTATAGCTACTTAGGGGTGTAGTTGGCGCTATTTGTAAGGGGATTTATGGGAATATATGTATATATAAATATATAGTGTAATGGGATTCAACATGATTCAACCATTTTTATGGGTATGACCATGGTGCTCCATGAGTTGGAATTTGGAGCCCCTCTAACTATAGTTATGTATCCCCTTATTATACCTTGAACTGCAGCTGCAAGTAGTGCTTGGTGCTTGGGGAAAGGATGGCGTTGGGGCGGAAAAAATGGATGGCCGCCCGCTGAGTTGACCAGATGAGGGAGACCTAAGAGTCTTATCTCATGATTTTTTTTGTTGTTTATTGATGTTGAGTCTAAACATAGTCTAACTTATTTGATGATATTTGATATAGATTCCTTTCCTAAGCGTGTAATATCTGGCAATTAGGCACCATGAGGGCATAGCTGTCACTAGATACCGTATTCTTTTTTTTTAAAGCTGAGGGGATTACCCAAATTCTCTGGTATCTAATAAATGTTTTTAATTTTTCCGACACACCCAGATAGATCCCCGCCATCCCCAAGCTTCATCCAGCAGGTTGAAGGTCGCTGAAGACTGTTCCAACTTCTTCTCCCTGCCGGAGCGGTGAAGGTTACGGGTCAAGTGATGGCGAAGTGCAACAACCAGAAAAAACTGAAAGGAGATAAAACCATGTGGATTCCACGAAGAAAATTTCTGGGATTTGACCAAGACAGATTGAGACTGAACTGGTTGCATATGGGGATTCAACGGGTATTTCATTGGAATGTATACGTATACGATACGGGAATTGCTTGCGCAACATATTTGGTATTTGGGTCTAAAATGAAAACGAGATTGATTACCCTCTGGCTATTTAACATAGCCATGGAAAATGGCCCATTTATAGATGGTTTACTGTACCTATTGAAAAATGGGTGGATTTTCCATGGCTATGTATGTCTACGTCTATGTATGGTTTGGACTATTATCATTTGTTTACCATCCAAGACCCTCCAATGATACATTAATTTCTGTATCGAATTATTTCTGCTCGTGATGATTGATTTGCGCTCGATTGCTAGAAAGTGCACGTTTGTTTATAAAACGCTCGATTGGTTTTTGAGGGCCCTCAACAACCCCAGTGCCAGCCACCTTTTCCCAAGCAGCCCTTCTCTTCACGTACTTTCTGGACTTTATCTCCAGCATCACATAGTCTGGGACCCAGTGACTTTAAGTCATCTGTGGCGGGTCTCAAAGTAACTTTTGTATTTCATGAGGCAACGGCTGATGGTTCACCACGCAACTAAGTTGCTAGCATTCAGCCGACGAACGATCCTGCAAACTTTTCCAACAAAATCTTCATCACTCCAACATGCCCAACCTGGGACATGGCCATGCAATTGGCTCGAAAAATAAGGTACCGTATACTATGATCATAAACCCAAAACAGTTGAGGGGATAAAAATATCATAAATTAAAGGGCTGGAACTCATCACATTGAAGATTTTTTCATCCTCTCTACTTTGAAGAAGCTGTAGTTCCATAGCTCTCCTGGGTGGTGACTTTCAAAAAATAATTTCCCATTGGTGGTCTGTCTACGGGGCCCAAAAAGAAGAGATGAAACTATAATATGTATATTGCAAGTAGGTGTCGGGGAGTGGGCATAGAGGTGGAGTTTAGGACGCATCCTAAATAAAGCCCACTTGCGAGCTGAGCACAAAGAGGCCAATCCACCATATCCCTCCTTAGATCCATCATGGGTTGGTTCAACATTGGGCCGAACATGTCCCATCCCACAAAATCTAACCAAGTCAGAAATAGATGCAATCAAAAATCAGCGCTGTTGAAGCCAAACATTAAGATAGAGCGGGCACTGGCACGGTCCATGAAGACACCCTTTTTGTGAAGCTTTGACATGAACTTGTTGGAACTGCTCAGGGTCCATTTCAGTAGACGAAATAGATCAACATCTGCAGCATCCTTGATGATGTTATGATTATTTTTTTGGGGGGAACTTTGTGAATGGCCATGGAGATGTGGTTTACTGATGTTGGGTATGGATCCATATATTCGATATTTTTTTGGGGTTATATTCCCAATTTCACCCAACAAGTATACCCTAAGCTTAGATTCCATTGGGGGCCAATCTTTTAAACAGCCAAACTCCCCATAAACTTGATTACAATATTTGGATCCCCAAATCAAGTACAATTGCGGTTTGGCAAAAAAATGGGGTGATAAAAATCCCTCCAAATGGCAACATCCAGGTCATCCAAGTCATTAAGCTCTGATGCCAGCCATTTGCAAACCAAGGCCGTGTCGTGTGCTCTGCCAGTTCCTTGCGGAAAGTCGTAGCTCCTGAGAGAGGCAGGGAGTGGGCCATGGAGGTGAAAAGGATGGCAAGCTTATTATATTTAAGAACTGGAGCATCCCCCAAATAAAATCATGCTTAAGACAGTCAAGAAACGTTATCACTTTGAATTTCTTTTTTTCAAATGATTTGATTGAAGCCGTCTTCTTGTTCTGGGAGCACCATGTGTCAAACCTATCATGGGCTTCATCAAGACGTTTGTCCAACGAACCTTCTCCAAAGATTGACATTCGACATGAGGCCATCAAACCACTGGCTGCAAGATCACCACCAATACCAATATTGAAGCAATGCATGAGGTCAGGCCGTATGCAGTCTGGAGTTTCAAACCCTGGAACGGAACGCAATGGGGAAACCTTGTTCTGTTTGAAAGGTGTAGGGATCCTTCCCTGCCAGGTCCGAAGTTGCCCTGTAGAACTCACATCCCACCAGTCCTTAAGGGAACCCCCAGGATTCACATATTATATGGTACAGTTATATAGTCAATCTTTTCCAGTCTCAAAAAAATATAAGTTCATTTTGGGGGAAGATATGTGAAAATTGGTGATTATTTTTATGACAGGAAACTTCTGAGGGGCAAAGGTGACATACGCGTGTTGACCGGTACCCACTTGCCAAATGAAAGGCTTTACGAACCCAAGGCCAATCACCTTTGCAGCCAATAGCCGCCACATAGAAATTCATCTCAGCTTTGTCCTCACCAACCTCAGGGCACAATGCAAGTGGTATTTGATTTGAGCCTGAGGTTGAAATAGGTTAGATCCCCTAGATTTTGAAAAAGATACCCCTTGTTTTGCTGTCGAACCTTGACAGGTAAACCTTCGTGGAACAAGCTGCACAAGTCGTCAGCCAGGCATTGGTGCAGACCATCGATTGTTGCATCATCTTTGCAATACCATGTTGATGGCACCAAAGTAAACAGAAGCCGAGTGGTGAAGGAATGCCTAACAGGTGTGAGGGATAATCTATAAAGAGAAAGCCAAAACATATTCCCTGATATTCCATAATAAAATTGACTTTGCATTGGAACCACCCCAACAAACCTTTTCTGAATTGTACATCTAAGTGACTGTGACATATTGAGGCAATCAGGTCCAGTGTGGGGAATGATCAGCTGGTACGACAAAACTAGGATTGGGGTTTTTCCCAAACCTCGACCCTCGTCGCCATGAATGGCAATAGGCACAGTTCTCATTTGTTCATCAGCTGTCCGCTGGTATATCGGGTGTCCAGGCTGTACACTTTTGAAATCATCCCAAAACTGTTTGAACATGTGTTGAACTTGTTGGAGCCCTTCTTGAGTGCAAGGGTCGTGACCGCCACACATGAACTTGGGACACACACGAAGAATCTCTTCCATCCAACTAGATAGGACCAGGCATGGAAACTTCTCTAATTTTTCTCGACTGCGCCGCTTCCCATGTTTACCCCGAACTTTTCGGCGAATTGGAATCATAGGTGTGGATATTGTCACAGGGAATAGTTTTCCATCTCGATGTAATAGTCGGTGAAAATCACGAGCTGCATTCTTCCCAGCTTTTCCACTCTTGGATGACCGGTATCGGGCCAGTTTGTTGACCTTTGGATCCACAACACCTTCAGGGGAAAGTACAATGGACTATATGCTATAATTCTTATGTATATACCCTTCATTGCATGGTCCATTAAATTATTTTTTTTCAAACATCAGTGCCTAACTTTCGGTCCCTCTTGGCTGCCGCTGCTGCCAAGCGAATCACATGGGTCGATGATGTAGCCTTGGCCAGAGAAGCGGGATTAATTTATTTATAAATGGAGGATTTGAATTAATTAACTTGCAACCACTTTTAGTTGAGCTAGGTGACCCCTTGTTCTGCATCGCGAAGTAGAGCTTCAGCAAGGTCTCCACACGAAGTATCGCTGTTCCCTGGGCAGGTCAGTACTATATAATATCCAGGAATATGGAATACCCATCCCAATGAACAGTATGATATGGGGAACCCCTTAAGATTCTGTTTCCCCAAACCAATTTTTGACATGAACCTCCTATGACCCATGCAGCAGTCGACTGACTCCGACAGGCCTGGGGAATCTTGCAAATCATCTTGTTCATCCTCAAGGCCTGCGTGGGGATGGGAAAGTCTATCCATGTTTATATGAACTCTTAAATCCCACCACTGGAAGACGATCAGAATCTATATCTGCAGCTGTAGATTTTCCCCGAGCGAACATCAAATCAGATCCCCGATCAACTTCTGTCATGGTGACAAGTATCTATGGACACTTGCACACAAGCATTGGGTGAATGGCGCTTTGCCAACACCAACACAAAATCATATGACAAGACTAGTGCTTTTTGCTAGTCTTTTTTTTCTTAGACTTGGTCTTAAGCTCTGTGCCGGGGTCAGCCTTCGGCTTCCCTCCCTTACACTTACCCTCCTTTGCTGACTTCTTCTCCTTCTTGTCCTTGTCCTTGTCACTGTTGCTCTTCACACTGGCAGCAGGCGATGGCCTGATGTTCCTTATAGGTAGCGGGTAGCCAAAACAGAACAATGAATGAGAACACCAGTTTTCTTTGTGAAGAGCATCATGTGTGAATTTGAACTTTTGAATTGTTAAAATCAGAAAAGGCTCTTGCTGCGAGTGATGTAATTGTTCAACGTCACATCAGTTTTGGTACAGGTAGCGAAATCATGCATGATCTCTTTCTTCTTGGTCTCCAAAGAACTGGCCACAGACGAGGCATCAAATATATGATAAAATCAATTATTGAAGTTGAGGTGAAAGTACAGAACTGTTACACAGGTTGGCTCATAGAAAACAAGTCCCACTGCCTCGTATCACTTGCTGCCAGGTAATCAGCCTCCTTGTTGCTCAGCTCCTTGTACTTGTCCTCGAGCTGCTTCACAAGGCGGCTAATCTGTTGGGCCATCCTCAGAACAGGCTGCAGACCCCAGGAACTTATATAATATTAAATTGAATGTGTACACCAGTGTGGTTTAACCTAGTATGACCTATAGTATATACCTTGCTGCAAGATGCTCAGTGGCACGAGGGATCTGCATTTTCTCGAGCTTCTCCTGGAATTTGTTCTATATCAGTTGATAGTGAAGCAATGGAAATCCCATCCTAAAAATATCAGGTTCAATTGTAACCGAGTCCTGTTGGGCAAACGCTGTATCGATCTTCACTCCCAAGCATTTGATGAAATTGGGAAGGATGCTGAAGGGCGACTGGTTCTTCTGAAGTGTGGGGAAGACAGTGTGCCTAAGTCATTGCAACGCCCAATGCTTAAGATTCCCACATATTCATTTTCTGGTTCAAATCATATATGACCTGTCATGCTATAGTCAATTCCAGTGACCCCTTGCTGCTGCCAGTGGAGGCAGCAACTGCAGCAGCCTCCTTGACTGCCTGCTCCGATTCACCAGAGGCAGGACCGGCCAGTGGGAAATCATCATCAGGAACGAGATGGGAATCCATCAGGCTGCCATCTGGGTCCTCCAGTGAACAGAAATGCCACATCACTACCCATGTTACTGTACAGAACAAATTTTAAAAGACAGATTAAGTTTTTGTTGGTGTTGGTTGAACCCTAACCCCTATCCTCACACTCAGCTTCACCAGACCATTCCATGAGTTCACCATTCTCATTCTTACTATCAAACGTCTCAGCAATGACCAACTTTGCTTCTTCTTCACCATGGACACTGTTCTTCCGAAGTAAATTTCGAGAAGCCGCCCACTTCCATGAGTTGTCGATCATGGTCCTCAAGCTGACATCCTAAAGGCATCTAGTTATATACAAGGGAGCTGTTGACACAATCCATATGCATACTGTTTGAACTATAGATTGCAACCAAATGTCTTCGAGTAACGGCATTCATCAGACAGGTATGTCTTTGTGACCCACCGACCCTGCTTGCCATCAGACTGGGTTTTCTTATACCACTTTTTGATAGCAACCTCGACCTCTTTGAAGTTCCCGTGCTTCTGCAGGAGGCCTTTGAGCTTCTCACCTTAGGATGTTTTTTAATCATGACCATGGTCCAAAATGTTTGAACATATGTGCATATTGTGCATACGATATATGATATTAGCCAAAGGACGGCCAGTTTCAGATTTGTACAGCTCCAGGACCTCTTTCGAAGCTGTGCATTGCTTCTTGCAAGTAGGATCACAGTATCGACGCATCCTGATCATGGAAAAAATTCAGACCAGCTGTATGTAGGAATTGGGAGCATACCAACAACAATTAACAATTATATTGCAACCTAGCTTCTTGTGGTAGTACTTGTCAAACTTCTTGGCAACAGTTTTGCTTCCACTGGTCTTTGAATGCTCTGAAGTCCGATGTGTTGAACCCGGCGAGTAACCCAGGGAAATCCCATCTTCATCGTTACCAGTCAAATCAGGATTCTCAACCATAGACCCATCATCATTGGCTCCCATTGGAACACCCATGGTCTCGGGATGCTCACCCGTGCTTTCTGGAACTTCGGCAGGCACCTTAAGTTCCAAGACATCTTGGCCTGTGGCAGGAGCCTTGCCCTCAGAGCTGGCTGGCAGAGTATCAGGGGCTGGCAGAGTATCAGGGATCTCCACCGGGAGAGATTTTCGAGCCTTCCTTTCCTCATGATCCTCAACCCTCCACCTAGATTCCACCTGCATCTCATCAACTGAAGAAGACTCAAAAGATCGCATGGATGAGTGTGGGAGTGTCTCCACTGAAGCCAACCGCCTGGGACGATTCCCAGCTACAAACTTCCCCGTAGATGAAGCCAGTGCAGGAGCACCTGGACATAGGGTTTGATGGCCATATTAGCTTGTATGAGATTTCCCAAATAGCCCTGTGACTTAATATATTAAGTGGTCAATGTAATATCTCATAACACCCACCCAGCATGGCCATCACAAACCCAGCCTGGAATTTCCAAGGCAGGGCCAGCAGCCTTCGAGGAAGACAGTCGTGACTGCATGGCCGCAATCCTAGCCCGAGATTCCTGAGCAACATTGGGTGGAACACGAGGTATGGATACAATATTTTGTGCTGCATATGTTTCATTCCATTTACACAAGGCTGTTATATAAATGCTTCACAATTGAAACATATTTAATTCAGCTTGGGGGCTGCTATCTTGGCATTCAAATCACTAGGCTCCATTGGAACAGCATTCTCCGCAGCTGTAGTCATGGCAATACCCCGATCTAGGGTAGCACAAGAGATTGAAGGCACAGGCATCCTATTTGATCCAGACTACACAAATCAAAAATTCACAAAATGCACGAAATCCGAAAAAGGGTTTGATACACTTTTGAGATTTGCACTCGTTTGCACTTTTTTGCGCAGATTTGCGCTCGTTTTGCATGTATTTTCGCTCGAGATTTTTCCCTATTTTCATCAAATTGGGTCGAAAAACCCAAAAATTAGTTCATCGAATTTGATCCAATTAGATCAGACTGAATTTGTGCAAGCCTTGTTGTATTCTTGTAGTTGATCATCTGGCACACAAACCTCAGCATAAGAGAAAAATACAATCCATATGATATTGTATTTGACAGCTGTTTAGCCTACATGCAACCAAATAACGTGATCAGTGATCTCTTTGTCAAAGGTGGCCATTGTGTCAACCCACGAATTTGGAATGACCACATGCTTGCAGTGGTACAAGTACTTCCATACTTCACACATGGATGCATCCACCCATGCATCAGTGAAGGGCATTTTGGCAAAGAGTTCTCTATCAGTAAGTGATGTATCAACATAATGCTTGTGACGCAGATGTCCTGGTAGTGCTCGACGGCCTTCCCAGCATTGCAACAAGCGTTTGGCAAATCCTTCAGGATAGCACCTGGATCGAGAGGAAGTGGGGCAGCTTAGCCAAAGTGGGCCAGGCTGTAATGAGGAGGTGAAAGTATACTAAGACCTAGACGCAGATAGCTTCAATCCCGATGTCCCCGTAAACTTCAAGACACCATCTTTGTTGACATAGCGGCCTGGTGGCTATTGGACAATAAAGCTGGATTTTGGTACTGTACATGAATTCCATCACTATGCATATATATTATATTTATACTTAGGCTCTGGCGGGTTGTCTGGAGTTTGGAGTTCTTCTGCTTGAAGTCTTTCGTGAGGGGGCCAATGTTGAGACCACTAATCCACGAACCATTTGAATATACATCAGTGGGCTTTGGGCTTGAAGCTCCCAGCAGCATCATCCAGAAACGAATTTCATATACCTCAAACAGGCATCAGTCATCATATTTTTGGGTGCTAAATGCAATTGCAAAAGTCACCAAACTCCCATCTAAAAAATAGGGTCCTTGAAATTTGGGGATGAAGAATTGGAATAGCAAACATTTCCATATGGTTGATCGAAAACACGTATGCTGTTTCATTTGCGAACTTCTCCCACCGACGGTGCTTCTTCAGCAAAGACCCAGCTGGTTGTTCAAGTACAAAGTAGCCATGCTTCGCCAGAATCAAGTAGCCCAAAAGTACTATACTCAGAAAAGGGACAGTTCAGGTACCAATCAGGCTAGAAGAAAACCATATCGGATCATATATTCTGCAGATATTTTAAAATAAAATAAGTACCGAACTTAGTTCTAGGATCCGGCTTACTGTCATCTCAGCATTTGACACAAAAGCCAAGTGAAGGGCTCCAAATATGTTGATGAAATTTCGCATGCTTGTTCCTCTTGCTGGCACTCCCCAACTCCCACACTCAGGACCCATTAGGTTGAGTGCTTCCGGGTGCTCACATAGGATCGCCCAAACAGCCAGCCTGAGCACGGGCAACAATTTATAGGACCATTTTAGAGGGGGGAAATTAATACCAGCTAGGAAACAACCAGCCAGCAGGAGAGAGGAAATCCATTGTCCTCTCCCCCTTGCAATACATCTCGTCTATGCTTGCGCAGGTGTAGCCATGGGCATTCCTAGGATATGATCCACAAAAATCATTTTCATATGAAAAAGTGATCATGCAGACCATTCTATATGATTCGAATCTAATTTTGTTCTAGAGTCCAAACCTTTGTGGCTGCAGCACCACCTGCAAATAGATCCAGTAGGTGAAACCTAGGCTGAATGTCGATGTTCTCCGACCACATGAGGAGAAGCACGATCCCCACCAGAACCTGAGGAGCATCGGTTCTAAGTAAAACTATGCCTACTTCTGATGGGGGAATTCCACATGCATATCAGCAAACGAAATCTAACCTAGCCTTGGGCGCTTTCACCTGAAGCAAATTGACCACTAGCGATTCAGATTCCATGGCTCAAGTAGGGCCCTAAATTGACGGATTGCAGCAAAAGGACTGCGGGATGCTGAAGTGATCAACCCAATTGGATCCCAACCGAATCTGCAAACAAGTGCATCGCCAAGGCTGGGTGGCACCTCCACAGCTAGCCGCTCGAATGGCCCACCCCTCAGAGAGTGGCATGAAGCACCTGCGTGGGGGCCACCACTACACATGGAATAATATATGTCATATATGATTTGATATAATTGCAAGGCTCTGCAAACTCCTTTTTTGACTCATCGATAGCATTCGGATCCCCAAAGATTGTCACATGTTCTCAGCTGCAGTCATATGGACACATAAAGGCCACTGTGCACTTCATGTCTTAAGGCAGCTGTTGCTCACGTGATATCACCCCAAACCAAGTACCAGCCAACAGTGGGCCAGACACCCAATAAACCCAATCACACACGGCGATGTCATAGTAGATCATGGTGATCAGCTGCAGGATTTGTAGGCCTGAGATACAAAAGGGCCAATGCAGTATTGAATTAAGACAAAGGGCCAATTCACTCAACCACAGTTGACTTACTAGAAATTTTACAGTGTCTTGCCACTATATCGTATATAATTTCCACTGAAGGTGAGTGATATATTGTTTGAAACTATTTATGTGGGCTAGGTGCCTCTCTGCCCTTCTCCTTTGCTTCTGCTTCATTCAGGCCATCTTCCAAAGCCTTCTTCCTTGCTGCACAGTAGGCCGAACTCTTTCGGCTTCTCTCAGCTTTCCGCTCTTTCTCCAGCTTCTGTTGCTCTGTCTCATTTTCTGCATCATCATCATTCTCTGCATCATCTTTCTTTCGCTTTCTGGTCTTCTTCTCAGCCTTCTCATTCTTTGCATTCTCTGGGTCCTTGGTTTCCTGACCCTTTGACTTCTTCAGTCTGGTACTTCCAGTCTCAGCCACTCTCTTCTTTTTGCGGTCAGTCACACTTCCATTCTTCTTCTCATCTGCCGTCTTCTCTTCATGATCTTCCTCATCTTTGTTAACTGCCGCCTTTTTGCTTCTGGTCTTTCTTTTTGCCTTCTTCTCGTCTGTCTTTTCCTCATGCTTTCCCTCCTCAGTCTCAGGATTCTTCTCACCTTTTGTCGTCTTCCCTCTTGTCTTCTTCTTTCCATCCTCAGTCTGAGGAATCTCCTCACCTTCTGCCTTCTTCCCTCTCTTCTTCTTCTTTCCATCCTCAGTCTGAGGAATCTCCTCACCTTCTGCCTTCTTCCCTCTCTTCTTCTTTCCATCTTCAGCCTTAGGCTTCTTGTCACCGAATCCCTTCCCTTTGGTCTTCTTTGGCTTTCCATCATAAGCCTCACCTTCAGCTGCCTTCTCTTCTGTCTTCTCCGCCTTCTTGGACCGAGCCCTTCTCTTTGCCACGGCCTTCTCAGTTTTCTTTGAACTCTTAGCCATTTTTGCTTCTTCAACCTCTTCATCCTCAGATGACGATTCCTCGCCACTGTCATCGCTGGAATGTTTTCTCTTGGCCTTAGCTCCTCGACCTTTACCTTTTCCCTTCCCTCGGCCACGGCCTCTGCCACCAGCCGCCCGCATATTTTCTACCTGTTCTTTGGGAGAGAGATGTGGCAAACAGTCCAGTACTGCTGGCCGATTGTCAAGGGCTGACTCCTTTGCAGGTTCGGCTTCCTCATTCAACCTTTTGCTCTCACACTCCTCACTCTCACACTCCTCACTCTCACACTCCTCACTCTCACACTCCTCACTCTCACCCACCTCCTCCTTCACCTTTGATTCTGAAACTTTGACATCACACTCCTTGATTTCTTCCTCCTGTTGCTTTCTGTTTTGGATCTCAATGGCCTTTGCTATGGCTTCCTCTTTGTTCAAACCCCAACCCATCACTTCACGAACCACGGCAGGGTTGCTCACCCCTGGCTCAGGCAACTTCGGTTCTTCGGGGGCTGGAGGGTGAGCAGGCACTTCGGTGGGAAGCAACTCCAGAGTGGTTCCAGTACAATGCATATCTGCAAATCTTTTGGGACTCTCTGCGCTTGGCTCCTGTAGGGAAAGGGTAAGATGCCAAATGTGCATAGAATATATGATCTGTATACTTTTGAGCTTAGCTGCTTTATACAATATATGGACCGAATTGGAATAAAATGAACACTATTTTAGAAGGATACCAGATTCAGTCCTGGGATTCAGCAAATGCCACGCTTGCATCCATGTCGCCACTGAAGGGTAACGTCTCAAGGTTGTCGATGTCTCCCTTGCCTCAGATACAAAAAGGCCACAACCTAGGCCACGTTCCCAGAAGATCCCAACATCTAGAGAAATAGAGTCATTTTGATGGAAGCCTCAATGGCTGTGACCTTTTGGTATTTATATTACATGCATCTTGGGTAAATAATATATGTGTGGTATGGCCTAATCTCACCAAGCTACTGTAAAGAAGACTTGAAGGTGCTGCATCACTGGAAGCTGGAACTGTGGAGTTGACTTGGGACTCAAGTTCTGCAAGTTGAAGCATCTCACTAAGCAGATCTTCTTCAAGCTTAAGTCGTTCAAGCTCTTCTTCAGCTTCTTCAACGATTTTTTCTTTGGGGACTGTTGAGAGCATCAAAGGGAATTGATTCTTTTTGGGAACCTCACCATCGTAGTAGAGCTCACCCTTATAGCTGGTAATCCTGAAGGTTCTACCATTTTTCGGGTGGACTTCCCAAGTTTCATCAACCTGTTCCCCAATCATCTCCTGAACTTTGGTGGGCCAATCGAAGGAAAACTCAATCAACCGACACATGCAATCGCCGGATTTGCCAGGAACCTCACCAGATACCCCACGTCTGGTGCAGGGCTGAGAGGTGATGGCATCCATGGTGCTGGCAATAGTTCCACAGGTCTTACATTCAAAGGAACCTTCCTGGTAGGTGACGTCATGCTTGTACACTTTCTCAGTGCTTGGCAAGTCCATAGCAGGAGATCCTCCCGCAAATAATCACAAGTAACATCCCCAAAAAGATGCATGGATAATGTGGCCATGTTTTTCCGATGATAATGATCCGATAGATTAAATTTGCGATGCAATAGCCATGGTTAAGACATATCAAGCACCCACATGCTAGCAATCAAAGACTCCTCGTGGGGATGGACATGGGGTCGCTGTGACTTCCGACGGTGTTGCACCTGCGCCAAGGCTGAGTGCAGCCATATGATCAGCAACTTCCAAAGCACCTCCAGGTGGCAACATGGCAGCAAGGGCGGTGGCAGGCTTATGAGGGGCAGATCAAAAAAAGGAGTATCAGTCAACCTACTTCAACCCCAGTGACCCCTATAAATAACATGTACCCTGTAGGAAAGACAGAGGGTCCTACCTCCACAGTCAGTGGTGTCATCAAGTTCAGCATCCATCTCTGCATCTTCAACTTCACAATCCTGAGCTCAAGGCTTATGTAATTCATTTGCCACAACCCCCATGGATGTTTGTGTCATGCATATTGGTTCAGGGGTTAGAGGCCAAGTAACTGTAGTTGTGCAAGAGCTTTCACCACTTTCAGAATCATATCCATCATCGTGATCAGACGAAGCTTCCCGTGAACCTGGGTATAGCCAGTATAGCCATGTGCAATAATGGGATGTTTTTAAGTGATGGGATATCTTATGAGATGTTTTAAGTCCAAGTGATGGGATAATTCAAATAACAAACATATAGGAAAGGAAATTGATCTTGTTCATCAAATCATTTCAAATGGTTTGATCCTTGCAATCTAGGGACATGCTTTTGCTGGCAAAGGGATCCCTGCAGCTTCGTAGATCCTACGAATCACACATTCTCTCGGGTAATGTCCTCTCTTTGCACTGCGGCTGAAGACCGACACCAAGCGTTTGATCTTCCACGCTTCCACTCGAACTAAACCACCTTAATTGGCAGGGTGTATGTCCCCATCACTGTAGTTGGATTATGATTTTTTTAAGTGGGCAGGGAAAGAGGTCAACCCATCCAATATGAAAAAGCTTTTACTTAATGCAAATGTTTAGGGACGGTTCAATGAGCCCTTCCCTCTGGGGCGGGCCCAATGCATGAACATTTCCACATGTTCATATATGCAGTCCACAGTAGTCCGCAAGCCCAGGGTTGCAAGAACCGGGGAAATCACTTCTTCGTTGGGAATCAAATCTTCACGGCCAATGCAATCATTAGAACAAACAACCAACTTTCCTCTCGAGGCCCTAGAAACCAGTTGTTCACTTTGAGACCAGGCTTCAGCAACTGGAGATGATAGTGTCACAGCCGACATGGCAGCAAGACCCCTGATGAATGCACCAGGAATCTAGCCCTATCTTTTCCCTGCAGCAAATCACTGGCTGCAGAGTGGCGGAAATATTCTCACAACATGAATCATGCATGTTTTGTCAAGATTGGCTCATTTTGGTTTGCTTTCTTTACCCCGACATCAACTATAATGTATGTAAACTGGACCAGTCACCCCAGAAAAGCACAGGAGGTGGGCACCTGAATTTTCCCAGGCTCACTCATTGCAGGCCATGTCCATACCTGTGCAGCCCAGGCATACTTTGAGGAACTACTTATGGGTGCACAAAGCATACATCCAGAAGGGCGCACCAGTAAAGGCCAAAGGCTTTACGGGAAACCCTCCAAGAGCCAAACGGCTCAGCAACCCCAAGGTACATGGAAGGGGAGTGGAAATGGGTAGAAAAAGTAAAAACGCTCGAATGTTCAGAATTTGCTCGAGGTGGTCAGTTTATGTTACGAAGTGTAATAAGTGCTCGAGAAATCAATATATGTATCGAATGACCTGTTTGCCAAAAATTTTTGTAGCGATGGATGCCCCTGGATTGTTTAATATATATTAAGCCTATATCATTCTATCAATAAAGATAGAAACCAAACTTACCATCATTTCCTGAAACAGGAGGAAATCAAACGCCTACACAGCAATATATATATATATATATTGTATATATATATAATCTATATACACAATACACATATATATATATACATTCATCATACCTTTTTTGTTGTGCACTATCATCGGCCTGCTTGACGAAGTGCCAAGCTGTTCTTTGCAGTTTCGCAGCGCAGGAGTTGGGCTTTGTGATGGGCAACCATACTTTGAGCCTCAGCCCAGAGGACATCACTTTCTGGCCACAGTGGAGTGGTAAAATGGCAGGGATTATGGTAGCGTGGTGAAGTGGTTTTGGTAGAAAATGCTGATTCGGACACAGGGATTTTGCCCCACAGGGAATTTATTCCATATTTTTGACGGAATGCTTGAAAAGGGCGGAGAAAGCCTGAAAGGGGGGTTTACAAACCAGAGGGAGAAATGAGTTGCTGAAGCATCCAAAGGTTGATGTTTGTAGAAGTGCAAGGAAAGCACATTGACGAAGCATTTTTTTCATTGACCGACTGTTTAAAACTGTACAATTTGTTTCAAGAGCCTGCCATAAAAACCATGGTTGTTTGGCGAAAAGTGGTTCTGAAACCATGGGGACGGGACCATGGCTATCTCCAGGGTCCCTTTTTCGGCTGCCAGGGTCCCATCCCATGAGCCAAGCTTGACACCAGTCAAGTAGCCTAGTGGAACATGCATTGATTGTGTCAAGTGTGTTTTGATTGGAAGCTCGAGCTTCCCACTGCGAAAAGTGTGCATATAAAATATATGAAATATTATGTCAAGTTAGGATCAATAACCCGCCCCCCCGGGAAGGTAGGTACCTATAGGGAGAAGGTTCCGCTGAGGTTGAACCCTTTTTTTCATCGACATTCATCGACCATTTTTCTTGGGTGGTAGTTGATTAATCCCTAGTAGATACCATAATCCCAACTTGACATCACCAATCAAATTGTAAATACACAGCATGTACATAGTATATATAGTATGTATATATATATATATATACACAGCATGTCTTGTATTTAATCCCTACTATATATATATATATGTATATAGAGTATACTGTACAATACACAACATTTGTCCGTATACCGACATGTTCACCATCATAATGTTCCAGTCATGACCCCATTGCTTTCAAAGTTGTGACTGCAAAAATCCAGACATGGTGACAGATTAAAGCCATTAAAAACTCAAAAAGGCATAAAGAAGCGGCTCATGAACATCCATAAAATCCCAGCCATGTCCTTTCAGTGCCGGTACCGGCCCACATCCCAGACCAGGACTACGTGGATCGCGATGGACACAGCTGTACTGTGGCGCTGATGACCATGGATGTCCCACCGCCCAAGGGCCCGCTCTTCATCTTTGGCGACCCCTTCCTGCGCAAGTGAGCGGGTCACTGGGGAAAAGGACCAATGGATAGTGTAATCCTATCGCATCCTTTGATGTTGCAACAGATTTGCAGATGTGTGTACTAAAAGTATGTATATATATATATAGAATATAAGTTAACTAGTTGTTTGTTTGCATTGTATCTACCATTGGCAATGGCATTCAGGAATATATGTATATATATATATATTTATTCCCACTTGAACAATGGGTAATGTCATACATAGGTTGAACACCAATCCCTAAATTGCACATCCAAGGAGGGAGCCTGCTGGGGCTGTGGGATGTTGCTGGGGTATTGATCCATTGAGAAGTTGTTCGAGGTGGATAGCTTTGACCCATCCCCAACTGGTGATGCCCCAGCATTGCCTGGTGAAGCGAGCAAGGCAAAAAGTCAACTGGATAACTTGAGATGATGGACAAAACAGAGATTGGTATATACACACATGTTATATATATATATACACATATATATATAACGACTGGAAACAAGTGGTACCGTGGCATAGCATCATGAATTAAAATCTCACCAGCCCAGGGTTGTCTATCAATGCCTCCTTGTTTGCTTTAGAGACAGATGCTTCAGCAGAGATTTCACCAGAACAACTTTCTCTTTGATGGTTGGAGGTACTACACGGTGTACGACCGAGAGAATTTGCAGGTGGATTGGGACTGAGGACTTAATGAATTCAGCAGTGGCCCAAACCTTCCAACACCAAAAAAGGGACTTCGACATGTTTGGCTATGGATGATGATTTCTTCAAGACTTTTTAACACCGTGTTGGCCTTTGTTCAAAAACAAACAACATTGAACAGAAACTCAGGCTTTAGGATGACTGGATCGTATAGGTACAGGGTGGGCCCTCCACTTATAAATAAACTGGTTATGAAGCCCATGAGCTATAGTTGTTGGGGTTATGTTTACCAACTTAGCTATCGTTTGGGGGCCCCACCTTGTATGAGAATGAGGGCGTCCAGGCTGCTTCTGGACGTGATTTTCTGCCTGATTTACTGATATTTACAGTACTATGTATGACATTGTGTTTGTAGTTTTTTTTAAAATAAATCTTTGGTTGTTGTCCATTTATTTACTGACTAGAATTGTTTGGTCTACTAATAGTATGGTTATATTATGTTTTACTATGTTTTACTTGTACGATTCTTTTCTTAGGACATCTAGTCTGTTTGCCTATCTATCTACAGTAATTGTCTATCAACACGGTTGCCTATCTACCTACCTGCCTACCCACCTACCTTTCTACCTGTCTATCTATATATCTATATATTTATCTATCTACCTATCTTTTTATCTATCTATCTAGACTCTACAGTATCTAGCAGGAAAGCGACAACTGTGAACATCTGCCACACCCCATTTTGGCATGCACCCACATACCATCTCGTACTCAAGAATGACAGGCGTACACTTGCACACTGTCTTGGATTGAAAAAGGCAAACACGGGATCATCAGCTTTTTTTCGGTGTCCCCCGTCCGCAGTGATTTCTAATAAGATCGCCCCACCTTATTGGACAGATTGGTGATCTACCATGATCCCATAGAATATCATAAAATGTGGTTGATGAATTCCTTGTTAGTTCCAGCGTGTTGATGATTTTCCGATTGCTTGCTGTCTGGAATTTGGGGGGAATATGGGATACACTTACAGGAAAACTCCTAGACCATTGTGGTCACCAAATGATTTCTTTTCATATTGTTTATAGTCAGAAGATCTGTTCATGGTGATTAAAATCCACTGACTGTAGACGTGTCGCAGGGTTTCCTTTTATAAATGGAAATTTAAATGGATATGGGTCAAAATTAGGTACCCCAATAATTGGATGGTTAATACTAAACTAGACATTCACATCTGTGGTCCCCTAGGTCTTCCATTTTGACCCACATCCAAATGGAAATTTTAATGGAAGAGAATATGC